CGTTTTGTTTTATGGGCCTGTCTACTCTTTGGCTGAGGGTAAACCTCGGGAGTGACTTCATTACTGAGCTAAAAGGGTGTCCGGGGGCCATACTCTGGGGGTTTCTCCAGTCTCTGTCAGGTCAGTAAGTCTGGTCTTTTTTTGTGAGTTAGAATTTTGTTCTACATTTTCTCCAGCTCTGTCCGTGACCCTCTATTGTGATCCCTGTCAGAGTAGTCAGTGGTGGTAGCCGGGCACCATCTAGTTGTACTGGACTCAGTCTGGTGGAGGCCGTGGTAGATGTGGTCCATTCATCCTTTGGACTAATCTTTCCCTTGTATCTGGTTCTCTTCATTCTCCCTTGCTCCAGATGGGGTGGGACCAGTGGAGTATCTTAGATGGCTGCTCACAGGCTTTTAAGACCCCAGACACTACTCACCAAAACAGAATGTAGAATATTTTCTTTATTAACTGTGTCATGCCAGTTGAGCTAGATGTTCCCCCAGGTTCAGTTTTTTGGTTTGATCAGCTGAACTTGACATGAGGAGAGTTTCCTGGGTTATCCAGGTGGGCCCAATCTAACCACAAGAGTCATTAAAAGTGGAAGAAGAGGCAGAAGAGAGGGGTCAGAGAGATGCATGTGAAAAGGACTCAATTCACTGTTGCTGGTTTTGCAGACAGATGAAGGGGGCCATGAGCCAAGGAATATGAGTGGCCTTTAGAAGGTGGAAATGCAAGGAAACAAATTCTTCCCTGAGCCCCAGAGAGGAATGCCGCCCTGCTGACACCTTGATTTGAGTCCGTGGAGACCTGCGAAGGACTTCTGACCTCCAGAACTGTAAGATAATAAATGTGAGTTGTTTTAACCCACTACATTTGTGATAATTTCTCACGGCAGCAGTAGAAAACAAATATAGTAACTTTTCTTCATTGCTGCAGTATGTCAAGTAGATCTTGAAACTCTCCATCTTATCCAGAATACCCAAATTAATCCAAGTGGATAGCTCCTAAACCACCATAATATAAAACTAAAACTGTCAAGTGGGCAGGAAAGGACTAACTGCAGGCCTGTGACCCATTTCCTCTCTACCAGGAATGAAAGACCTTAATCAAATTTTCTTTTAAGTGTGCTAATGGTATTTTAATGAATGGGGCATCAGGATTGGAGGAAGACTCCTTAACAACCTGCAATGTGCAGATGACACAATCTTGCTTGCTGAATGTGAAGAGGACTTGAAGCACTTACTGATAAAGATCAAAGAACACAGCCTTCAATATGGATTACACCTTAACGTAAAGAAAACAAAAATCCTCACAACTGGACCAATAAGCAACATCATGATAAATGGAGAAAAGTTTAAGTTGTCGAAGATTTCATTTTACTTGGAACCACAATCAATGCTCATGGAAACAGCAGTCAAGAAAACAAACAACACGTTGCATTGGGCAAATCTGTTGCAAAAGACTTCTTTAAAGTGTTAAAAAGCAAAGATGTCACTTAAGGACCAAGGTGCCCCTGACCCAAGCCATGGTGTTTTCAATCACCTCATATGCCTGTGAAAGCTGGACAATGAATAAGGAAGACCGAAGAAGAACTGATGCCTTTGAATTATGGTGTTGGCAAAGGATATTGAATATACCATGGACTGCCAAAAGAATGAACGAATCTGTCTTGGAAGAAGTACAGCCAGAATGTGCCTTATAGAAGCGAGGACGGCGAGACTTCATCTCACATACTTTGGACATGTTATCAGGAGGGACCAGTCCCTGGAGAAGGACATCATGCTTAGTAAAGTAGAGGGTTAGCAAAAAAGAGGAAGACCCTCAATGAGATGGATTGACACAGTGGCTGCAACAATGGGCTCAAGCACAATAATTGTGAGGATGGCTCAGTACCAGGCAGTGTTTTGTTCTGTTGTACATAGGGTGCCTATGAGTCGGAATCGACACAGCAGCACCTAACAACAACAATGGTATTTTCAGAGTCCCTGGGTAGTGCAATGGTTAACGCACTTGGCTGCTAACCAAAATGTTGACGGTTTGAGTCCACCCAGAGGCGCCTTGGAAGAAGGGCCTGGTGATATACTTCTGAAAAATCAACCATCGAAAACCTTATGAGGCACAGTTCTTCTGTTGACACATATGGGGTCATCACGAGTCAGAGTTGACTCGATTGCAATTGGTTTAATGGTATTTTCGAGCAAAAAGAAAATGGCAAGGCCTCTCTAAAATGCTTTTGGCAGGATACACTTGGTCTATCTAAATGGCTTATTGTAAAACCTGTTATTTATGGATTTATGAGGCATGGCTGGCTGGAGAACGGGGGCTAGTCATTAAACTTGGCTAATTAAGTACAAAAGGGGGATGTTGCAGAACTGAAATGACTGCCTTTGTTTAAACATCTCCACATACATTACTCAGAAGGAAACTTGTGCTTTAAATCTGAATCCAAAAAGCATCCTAGTGAGGGAGAAAAAAGGTATTTTTGGAGCTGAGCTGGCAGTCTTGGATTCTCCAAGAAAAGAATGCTTCATCTCTGCCTAGTGAGTACCCATATGCTTTGAATCATTAATCAAATTTAGTTTTAGGTAAGATCTATGATTTATGTGAATCTGATCTGACAAATCCTTGGGCTAATCAAGACTATGCATAGAATATTATTTTGCACTTGTTGACTTGGAAACATTCCTGTTTTAAATTCTAATAATCCAGTTTCATAAACTTATACTTTGGGAGTAGAATAATTTGATATTATAAAGTATTACCCATCATACAACTGAAATAATCTGATAAAAGGAACATACATGCATTTATCTGAAACTTTATTATATAAACTTTCATTTCTTTTAAAGATTATAAAACCTGTTCTAGGACAGGAATACAAGCAATATTGTTCCAGGATGGTTCATGGATAAATCAGAAAAAGCTTAGATTACACATTTATAGTATGATTTGAAAACTTCCCAGATTAGACTCTTAAGTAAAACAATTGAAAGTATTCAGTGATATTTGATCCTTTACAAGCATTTCATAATTATGGCAGTAGTGCCAAGCATCTGATGCAATTTAACCACCAATAAAAGGTACAATACATATGAACTCATGATATGGTACCTTGGGCTTCTGGCATGCCTTACTAGAGAGAAACTAGTATAAAGAAAGATCATATATAATAGTAGAAAAATATTTGTGATTTTTCTTTTTTAAAAACTGTTTAAGTAGATACCACCCGATTCCCACCCATGGCAAAAAATGCAAAATAATCACATCCCTCAGGTGTACACTTCCCTTTTCTTTAGGGTTAGAGTTAAGACGAACCTAATTAATGTACATAATTTTGAGTAAAAACTCATCAACCATAGTCATTAAGGATGCTAAGGAATGACAATACCTTGAAGCTTTTAAAAAATTTTTTATTTAAAAAGTAAAGCTTTAGATGGTAAACTACACTTAGAGAAACACAAACCAAATTCTTTATCCTTATGCCCTTGTTTTGCATTTAAAACTTTTTATTTTTAATACTTCAGTTTCAAAAACTCAGTATATGGTTCAATCAGAACTATAGTGATAATAGGAGTAAAGATCTTCACTTCCATTAGCTACTGAACTAACCTACTTAGAGAGGACTATTAGACTCTCTTCTCATATACGTTTACATAGACTGTACTCAAATGGTATGTGCTCTAAAGACGTTTTCCGGAGGTTCACACCTCTGAACGGTCTATAAAATCTCCTTTCTACTAATCTCTATTCAATGTCATATACTTTGCTAGTTGCTCTGGGAGAAGTCATGGAATTTGAAACAGCTTATCATGCACTTAAAGGTTATATAGCAAAATAATGAGAAAAGTGCCTTAAGAGGTAGGAGGTAGGCTCTCATCCCAACCCTTGGTATGCCCTGTTATGAACAGTTAAAAGACTGGAATCAAAGTGGTAAATGTGAGACTGATAGGAATATCAGGCTTAAGAAAATTAAGTCAACTTAGTTACTAGAATACTTTGAGAACACTCAGTCACATTGGAACCAGTTACAAGTCACTAAATCACACAGAATACATCAGTGTCAAAAATACGTAAAACACTGTAGATACAAATTCTTCTTGGCCATCCTTATTTGGGTATTATTGTGTAGACTCTTCACTGGAAAAAGTGGTTAAGTGTGGCTCTGCAGAATACTACAGTTCCAACAGAGCTAATTTCATTCCTTCATTAATTGGTCTCCACCAATGGTCACTTGGGGAGACCAGCAAATGTAAGCATTCTGGAGATAAAGAGAACTATTTTCCTTAATGGAAATAAACAGAGATAAGTCAACTTAGTATCTGTGAATTAAATAAGGATCAAAGTATACATCCAGTTTAAGGTTAGTCACATGGAGTTGGATCTTTCAAAGGGACAGACTCTAGGACTAGATTCAAACCTCCTGGTTTGAGCACCAAGGGTCAGCCATGAAACCCATTGTATTTGTTAACCACATAAAATAGATCTTTTCTGATCGTTTACATTCCTGAGGCATCTGTCCCAAGATCTTCATGAATCTCAAATGCTCAATGCCACCTCATCAGTTACGACAGTCTCTATATAGTGAAGCAAGCTGAAAACTTTAGGTCATGATTTTTAAAAAGCCAGGAAGTACACAACATCAAAGCCATGCTGAGTTTTGCCAGCCTCCGTGGTGATTAAGCAGCAGAATGCTCTTCTGCTCTCAGCCTAAGCTGAGTCTACCCCAGCCCCTTTCCTACTCAACCCATGGTGCCCACTCTTGAAGCCTTTGCACCACCAAGCCCCCTTCAAGTCTTTCTTGGGTTGGAGGTGCAGAACACAGCTAACTGGTCGGCTCCACCTCCGATGATGTCCCCTGGCCGCAAGAGATGGGAAATGGTTGACCCAACCCCACTCTTTGGAGTGCACTGCATGTGAAATGTAGAATCTCTGCTGTATACACTCGCTTACTGACTTTTCCCACATGCCAACCTTACGGCATCTCAATTTTTTGTGCCTTGTCAAAATTATCTTTGGACTTTTGCAGCTGCTTGTGAATGAGTCCACATCAAAACTGTTAAAAGGGTCTATTATACTTAGAAAGAAGACACTACTATAAAACAAAGGAGCTGAAATGATTTATATGAAACCCCCCCAAAACACTTACCTTAATTTAGCATCATCACTTGAAAGAGAAGATACAAAACTAATGGTAGTGTAATTAGTAAATTCCAGTATGTGCCTTGGGCAATGTTAAATGCTATCTATCATTTTGGATTTTAAGCTAAGAGAAGTTAGTAAAAGAGGCGTGGTAGTTTAGTTCTTTCTTTCACGGTGAAAGATCTTTAAGATAGCACTGAAACCTCCTAGGAGAAGTCCCAGTAGTAACGGCAGTGCCAACTGATGAAGGGTGGAAGTCTGCAAGGGCCTCAATACCACAACTATATGGGCTTGGAATGATTGGCCTTTGAGAGATTAATGGAAAGCTTAACCCATCACAAGCACTACATTTGGAGCACATTGTTGGCCAAGTCTGATCCACTGTAAGCTAAAAGCAACAGGACCACCAGAACCACAGATGAAATATATTATGTTCATCAACTGCTTTTTATACAGCAAGCCTTCAGTTTTGTGAACATATAAATTGTTTTGCCCAATAAAACTGACAGCTTGACTATGTAAAGTAGGCAATATCTTTGAAACAATAAATTTGAGATTATTTTAGCAGTAGAGGATTGCCCCAAGAAATATGTAGTTTTGAACTCAAGCTACTGGTCAGGTGGCAATATGAAGGGAAGGCAGAGCGGTGTTATAAGAAAAAAAAAAAATGAATGGGGAGAAGTTAAGGATTATAGTCTTTGCATTGGGTCTTAGGTACTTTACATGCAATGAGAAAGCTGGACCAGGTAATTTTATAAGGATTAGTACATTTACTGGAGCCCTGGTGGTGCAGTGGTTAAGACCTTGGCTGCTAACCAAAAAGGTCAGCAGTTCGAATCCACCAGCTGCTCCTTGGAAACCCTAGGGGGCAGGTCTACTCTATCCTACAGGGTTGCTATGAGTAGGAATTAACTTGATGGCAATGGGTTTGGGTTTGATTTAGTATATTTACTCCTAGTTTTAAAAGATTATGATTGACGATATGTCTGAACACTCATGGAGTAGCATCAGTGTCATTAAATATCTGAGAATCTATCTTTTTTTCTGCCCAGAGTTATGTTAGCATTTTAAAAGTGACAACAATTTGGGATGACCATGGTTTGAGACACTGAATAAAGGGGATAGGGGGCAATGAAAAGCAGCTCTAACAGTCAGCATCCATACACTCAGGAACTTTAAAAACCTTTGTCTAGATCTCCTGAGAGCCATCTTTCTATACACTTTTAATCTAGAAGACAAACTTACATTTGATTTCTCTGTAATAATTCTTTTGTGTCGCTTGGGCAAAAGGAACATTGTAGACTTTCCTCTTCTCTTTAATTGTATACAGGAGAAATTAAGGAATGACAAGTGGCTTCCAAGACACTTAGATAAACCACCCTCTTTTGGCTTTGAATTCTTGTGGGATGACTTAAAGCTTCTGGCAGGAAAAAAGGTGTCTGGTGTAAATGGTTTAAGTGCAGGACTAAGAAAAGATCTGTTTGAGCACATTCCTGATGAGGTAAGTGAAATCCATTTTTCCTTGCTCATATGTCCTTCACCTGACATACTTATGTATGTATGCTAGGCAGCTTGGCAAAGATACAGGTACTAATGGGTACAGAGTTTTCTTTAATCAAAGTTGTGGCAACTACCAAATTATATTTAGATAATGAATATTTTCATTTAAGCAGACCCAGTGACCATAATGAAAACTGATAATTCTGAAGTCAGAAGAAGGATCATATGGCTTTAAGACATTAGGAAGGATTCAGAAAGCACTCAATGATGAATGTTCATTTAGCCTACCTGAGCTATGATTTCAGGTTAGAACAGATACTGTTCGATCAAGAATGTTTTATTCCCTAGAATAATGAAGTTTAAATCCAATTTAATATAGAGGCGTGTGGCATTTATTACATTCAAATTAATGTTTAATATAGAATATCTATTTGAACATGAAATATTCAATGGCACCTCAATTACCTGCTGCTAAATTTTTCATTGCCAATCTCTTTCTTCACCATGACTCTTATAGGCCCTTGGTATATACTGGCAAAATTTCAAATTTTATGCCAAATACTAAGTAGGGATACTACTTAAGATTAAAAGTGAAAGGACTACTTCCTTTAATTAAGGAAAAAAGCCTAAAGAGATAAAAAGTATATGGACTAACTTCACAGGTGTACTCTTGACATCATGCCACACACATATGATAACTCTCCTTCCCCTATAGCTCTCTTAGTCAGTCTGACAGAGCACCTGACTTTAAGAAACAAACACACACACAAACCAGTGAAACAGACATGGGGAAAGATATGTACATTTTGAAAGTATTACATTCAACAGCTGTTCCACAATCTGGCCATTTTTAGGGCTGTCCAACAATACTGTTAATCCAGGTGAACTATTTAACCAGATTTAATAGTCAATTGATTAATAATAATAGATTCCAAGTTAAACAAGGCATGTATACATTAAAGAAAGCAGTACAGAAATGTACTGTATATGAACTGTTTACAAAAACATACAAAATGTTGGATGGCACAAAGGATACAGTGCTAATATAAACAGATTGTTTAAGCTAAGTGCTTAACATAAACTGTCCATCCCTATAACTAACAAAGAATATTTAAGGGACATGAAATATTTCCTATAAAAATAATGCTATATGGTGTAGAGTACTTTATTCAGTGTATTTTTAGGTGGTATTCATGTGTTCATTTTTCTTCTTACTGATTCAGTGAATACATCTCCGTCATGTTTCCATTTTCATTCCATCCGAAGCTCCAGGAAAATCTAACTTGCTAACAATCATTTAAAGCGAGAAGAGACGAAAGCAGGAGCAGCAGCAGGAGCAGCAGCATTATGGGTACCAGCTGGGACAGTGTGTGCTTGCAGGTGTCTCTCAGATATGTGCTACCTGTCGCCAGAACTTGTGCTATCAGCTTACACCATGGTACCAAATAACTCAATGAGGTCACTTCACAGAGCTGTTGAGGTGATTTTTTTAATACCTCTCCGCTGAGCAAGAGTAGAGCGGCCTACTGGTTCCAAAACTGGTGACTGGTTACGGTTTAAAGCAGAGTATGTAGCTGCCATGGCACCCTAAAACCAGGAAAGAGAGGCAACAACAAAAATGACATGGGGTAGTCACATGTACCCAAAACACAAAATGCAGATCCTCAGACAATCTCTTCATATGCAATTTTATATAGATTAGGCTCAGAGGGAAAATCATCACACTGGTCAAACCCCTGGATTGTGCTAAATTGCAGAGGCCAATGTGGGAGGTTGAAATGATGTAGGAGAGAGGACAGAGTGGGCTCGTAACAAGCAGTTCCCCCTTTTCTCAGGACTCTTTTTTTTTTCCTTCTTTGCAACCCTTTAGTATGAGAGGCAGCAAGCCTTGCTCTTTTGGAACCTGTGCTCTGTCACTGTTGATGACCTCAAGGAGGTTGCTTTGTGGTATCCATAAGCAAGAAGAGCGTAAAGAAAAGCGAGGAAATCCATAAGCTTCTCTGTCTTTGTTTATAGTGAATACCTACTTCTATAAAACCAAAAATCAAACCCGTTGCTGTCTAGTTGATTCCAACTCACAGCAACCCTATAGGTGGAACTGCCCCCTAGGGTTTCCATAGCTGTAAATCTTTATGGAAGCAGACTGTCACATCTTTCTCCCATGGAACGGCAGGTGGATTTGAACCACCAACCTTTTGGTTAGCGGCCGAGTGCTGAACCACTGTGCCAACAGGGCTCCTTTTTCTCACTTCTATAGACTGAAATAAATTCAGAGATCCCTTTTAAGCTAGTCCTACTACTGGTACTTTGGCATCCATTGGCCTTTTCTAAATCACCCACTGTAAAGAGAAGCCCCCAAGAGAACTGCACAGAAGATGACAGGGCATGGAAGGCTGACTCTGTCTCTCCTGGAGCATTTGGCCAATACTGACTTAATGAGACCACGTACCTTTACTAGGTGGGGTGCGTCCTGTCTGTTGAGTTGGTACTGTGGCAATTGGTCCCAGTGGACGATCCAGGGATGTCTGAGCACATGGGCAGCAGTCAGCCTCTGATGAGGATCTACATGAAGCATCTTTGACACCAGGTCCTGTAATGGTGACAGTAATAAAATACAACTTAAATATTTTTGTCTGCCCGTTTTTCTGTGGCACTAGATACTTCTGGGAGCCCTGGTGGCGCAGGGGTTATGAGCTCAGCTGCTAACCAAAAGGCTGGCAGCTCAAATACACCAGCCACTCCTTGGAAACCCTATGGGCCAAGTTCTACTCTGTTCTATAGGGTTGCTATAAGTCAGAATTGACTTGATGGCAAAGCATTTGTGATTTTTTTGGTTCGATACTGCAACGCACACTTTCTTAGCTTCTATAATGCTATTTTTTCCTGGTAACAAACCTTTTGGCTCAAAGCAATTTGGTTAACATGACAATCTGATAAAAATTAATACTTCAGTCTCTGTTTTCTCCCCTCCGAGTAACAGTAATTTTGGTGCATTACAAATGGTAGATTTCCACATTTTATGTACCTTTAAGTACACTGGCTCTTTTTTGTTCTGTTTGTCAATACTGAAAAGCAGAACATAAATGTCCAAAAATAGGAATTTAATTGGAGGGCTCTAAATGCCCACCCCCCTGACTGTAGAGTTCTTTAAAAAATTTTTCTACTTCAAAAACAATTCATAGGCATTATATAAAAATCAGAAAAATATAGAAAAGCAAAAGAACATGACGAACACCCATAATCCCATCCCTCCAATCACTGTTAGCATGGCCTATCTATCCAAGTATTCTTCTATGCATGTAACATATATCCACATAATCACTACAGTTTTACTTTCTCTAAAATGGTAACATAATTGTGATACAGTATCACAAAAAAGCTACCCACACCAAAAGCCACCTACCACTTCTTTAATTTTTCATTCAAAATATATCTATTGAGTATCCATTAAAGGCCAAGCATCCTGCTAGGCACTGGGTATTCAGAGATGAACAATACAGAAATGAACTCCGACCTCATGGAGCTTCCAGTCCAGTGAGGGTAAAACAAAGGAGCCATTACAAAGCAAATACTAAATTCTTTGATGGGATGAATAAGTAAGAAGTGTAGTTGGAGGAACACAGAGAGCCACCTGACCTGAACTGGGTGAGGTGGCTTAGAAGTGACTTCTTGAGAGGAAGGTGAACTCTGAAGGGTAAGCAGGAGCTAGATTAGAGAAAGGAAGCGGGAAACAGTGTTTCAGGTAGAAAGAACAGTGTCTGGAGGAAAGCTGGCAGGTATGAGAGAACATGTCACAATTAAGGACCTGAAAGGAGTGTAATGTGGCAGCAGCATTAATTGTAAAGGAGAATGAGGCAACAGATGAAGTGGATAAGCTGAGAAGAGAGCAGACCACGAAGGCCCTTGAAAGCCGTATGAGTAAATCTGGAATTGTTCTGGAGGCAATAAAGCATTTAAAGCAATACGAGTTTGTATTTTGGAGAGATCACACTCACAAGGTTGGGAGGAAAATGGACTGGAGGGCGCAAGCCTGGAGACTTCAATTAGGAGACTGGGAGAGATGATCGCATCAGGGAAGGGTATTAGAGAAAAATGGGTGGAACTGAGGTATTCAGGAGAAAGAACCAACAGAACCTGGTGGATGACTGGATATTGGGGACGGGGAAATGTTGTTCCAAGCACTCGTCTCCTATGAGACATTTATGGTTTCTTAGTTTTAGTCAGGACTAACAGCAAGAAGAATAATCTACTGAATAGAATTATAAATAAAAAGCAAAAAAATCAGGAATCTCCCCTTCCAAATTCTGAAAGTGGACAAGTGTTTAAAATGTATAAAAGGTTGCAAAACTGCTCAGGGGCACAAAAAACCTATGTGTTAACCAACATTCTTCTGGCCAAGTCACTTAGAACCACTTCTCCTCCTGCTGCTACCCCTTCAATGGCTACTCTTCCTGTGCTTTGTCTTTAAATGGCAGCACTCCCCAGACTTTTCTCCTTGGCTCTCTTATCACTCTACCAAGATAATCTCATTCATGTTCATGGCTCTAGCTACTACAGACGATGAAAACCCCTAAATTCAATTTCCGCCCCAGACTTCTCACCTAAGAAGATTTCCTAATGGACATCTCTTAATTATTCATCACCTAAGCATTTTGAATTCACAATGTCCAAATCTGCAATCATCACTCCTCTCAAAACTATTTCTTGTGTATTCAACATCTTGGTGAATGGCACCACAACCTACACTTTTACCAAAGGCAGAAATGTGAACTGCACACTTGGTATCTGTTTCTCCCTCATTTTCATGTCCAATAAACTTTCAAGTCTATTCTGACACCTACATTTCTCTGCCATTTGGCTTGATCCCACTACAACTGCTCTAGCTTAGGTCCTCATCATTATGACCTGGAATACTGCAAAATCTTACAAGTAATGCCCCTAATATTAGGTCAAAGAGGACTGAATAAAGTAATGGAAGTAAAAGCGTTAGCACAGTACCTGGCACGTAAGTGCTCAGTAAATGGTAGCTAGGGTCCTGTTCTTCTCCAAGCCACATTATAATACATGTGGCTTGTTTCACTGATGACATTCACATATGCATCATGCTCTTGTGAGGACACACAGAGCCCCTCCCTCCCAATTTTGTGGATAATCATATTATATCATGCTTGTAATCACAAGTCTTAACTTTATGTAGTAGCAAAAGTTACTGGCAGTAACTGTAGAATTTATGACAGGCTGTGAGTTGGATACAGTTTCTTGTGCTCTATTTGTGTCTCTATCCTCACCTAATTCTTTCTCTCTCACTCAAATAAGCATAGTGAAATGCAAGTGAACGAGAACAAAACTACAGATAGCATGGTGTAGTTATTCCAGGGAACAAGGGCTTTGGAAGCAGATACTTAGTTTGAAGTGCCACGGGCGAATTGTCACTAAAATTCTGGTCGCTGGTTTCCTTATATGACATGGAGATACTGCCACCTATCTTACAGTGTTGTTATGAGGATTAAATGGGGGTAATTTAGGTAAAGTTCGAAGACTGCCACCATTAATATTAATCCTGTTTGTCAGTAAGAAATAGCTTTAGATCTATAGACAATAAGGCCAAATCAACATCTTCTGAGAAAGAAACAAAACACCTGGTCTATTTTTGAGTTCAAGTTATTTGGTAACATCACTTCAAAATACTTCTTTATAAACAAAAATTCCTAACTAATTTATTCTTTTCACTAGGGATTACAGAAAATTATTTTCTCAAAAGCTTGTAACAGGAAGTCATACCCACCTTTGCTGTATCTGAAACAGAATTCCAGTAACCACCACTGAGGGAGAATTTTCCACTACCTATTCGTGCCAATATTTCCTCTGGGGTATCATCAGGGCCATTTGCAAATGGAGTGTAACTAATATAATAAAATTAAAATGTTAATGAGTAAAATTTTTTTTGGTTGGTAATCTTTATATTTATTTCCAGTGCCTAAAAGTACTCTGAGTAATTAGAGCATTACTAAATTATTAATTACTAAGATATACAAAAATAATTAATTAATAATTACCAAATCTACCAAAGTGAAAAAATCCACAAAATGAAGATCCGTAAAGGATGAGGTCAAGTTGTAAGTTAGGAAGTATTACTTAGACTAAAGATGCAATAATATAAATATTTTAAGATATGGCATATTACAGAATATTTTAAAACAGTATATGTTTTTGATATAACAAATAAGAGTATAAAAAAGTATAGAAAAAGCCAATTTAAGATTTTAAGACATTAATAAATAATACATTTTAGAAATTCAATAATGATACAGGTATAATTGTATGTATTAGATAACATGAGAAAAAAATGGAAAGAAAGATATAACAACATAGGGACTAAAAGATCTAGATAATTTAAACAAAATACTGATGAATAAATGCTTACAACATATGCTATACACTCACCCGGTAAGCATTGTATAGAGGAGGACACCAAGACTCCATATATCACAAGCAGCATCATAGCCTTGTCGTTTTAAAACCTAGAAAAAGGAAAAATCAGTATTCTCACAATGCTGCTTATTATCTAGATTTGGACAGGCTGTGAATGGAATTATATCTCCCAAATGAATGTGCATAAGAAAAACTTCAACAAAACATGGTTAACAAATAAGGCAATTTATTAATCCTATTCCTGAACCTCTACTACTATGAACTAAGATAGATACAAAAGTTGCATTTTGCTATGCAAATTAACATTTATTGAGTGTCACCACGAGTACACAGAGGAATATAAAACAAACTGAAGCTAAGCTTCTTATTTTAATGAATTTACGTTTTATATGGGGCCACTGAAATTGTTACATAAAACAATACTTTTAAGAACACACATAACCTAATAAAAATGATATAGTGCAAAATAGTACATATATATATGTAATTTGATTCACTCAACCATTTTATAATCACCAGGCATGAACTGTGACAAATACAAAAAAACTCTGTCCTGCCCTTAAGAAAATCAGGCTGTGGCAGGGGAAATAAACATATAAATAGTTAACAATTTGATGTGATATATATTGTAATAAAATTATATCTAAAGTGCTATGGGTATAAAGATGAGGAAGCAATTTCTTCTTGATATAGGGAGAGAGGGAAGGCTAGAGGGCAGCCTGCTCATACTGGACCTGTAAGAAAGAATTCAGTAGGCAAAAGGGAGGAAGTAGAAAGGGCAAAGGACATTCAAAGGGTAGCGGCATACTTAGCGCTAGGCAAGAAGTTCAGTGGGGCCAGAGCTCCAGGCAGGGGATATTAGCAGTAGACAGACTGAAGGGCTTTGACAGGTATTTTGTTGAGAATTTAGATTTTGTTCCTGTAGGCAATCAGATGTCACTGAAGCATTAAGCAGGGAAATGAAAGATACTCAAGGTATAGAAGAAATGCTGGAAAGAAGAGAGACTGGAGACAAGGGCACCCAATAGGAGGCACTTTGTAGCAAACTACACGAAAGGCTGTGAGGATCTGCACTATGCAGGACGTTAGGAAGAGGAAAAAATATCTATAGATAAAACTGGAAGGACTTGGCATAGACTGGTGACAGACTGGCCGTGGAGAGATGATGGAGAAGGAGAATTACAAGAGGTCTTCAAAGTTGTAACTTGGATGACAAAATGGCAAATGGGAGACAAAGAGTTGAAATGAAGGTTAAGTCTAAGAAGAGTTCAATCATGGCTGATTTCCCAAAGTAGATGAATTTAGAGGCAGGTTTTGAAATGAAAACATTCTAGGGAGGGAATGTACAAAGGCATAACAGCTACATGGTAATTTCAAGAAGCAGGCTGCTTGTATGAAGCAGGAAATGCATATGTGGAAAACGAGATGGCTAGATTAATTGACCATGCTTGCCCATCATTGTGTGCCAGAGACTGGATACATGGACAAACAAGCAAAAAACCTGTCCCTCGTTAGTTCCACTAACACGGGGAAGAGTAGACTCAAGTAGACTTTTAAAAGAAATAGCATCTTACATATAAAAAGTAATAAAATCACAAAAAATTTGGAAAACAGCAGAAACAACTCAACTCTATAATCCAACTATCATAACATAACCGATTCTCATTTTTGTGAAATATCTAGCTCACGGTAAAAGCACAGACTTTGGAGCCAGACTGCCTGGGTGCAAATCTAGATCTGACTTCAGGCAAGTTATATAACCTCTCACAAAAAACCTCATGTCCTGTGAAATGCAAATAAAAGTATTTACCTCATATAGTCACACTGAGAATAAATTACTATATGTAAACTAGATCATTGTGACAACGAAATCAGGTAATATACGTGCCTGGCACATAGGCCCTATATTAGGGTTAATGATTATTTTTATTATATATTTTTCATAGTTACATTTTTGTTGTTGTTTGTTTTACACAGTGATAATACAGGCAAGAAATCTTGAGGGCAAAGCAAAGGATTTTAGATTTGCTACTATGGGAAACTATACTTTTTTAGAAAAAGAAGGAACTTGATCAAAGCAGTGCTTGAAGAAGACTTTAGTAGCTTTGTACCTATTATGTCAGGAATGATCACAGAATGAAAAGGGGCAGGAAGCCTGCACCTAGCTTACAGCAGTCACCTGTGGGCTGGGGACGAAAGCATGGGCTAGGATGGCAGTTCTGTGAACAGAAGAATGCAGAGCAATTGGCAGAACTGGTTTTAGGAGATGATGAGATGGTAGCTAGTTATGTAGCTGAACACAAGAAATGACCTTGAAGTTTCAGCCTAGGAAAAAACAGGAAGATGGTGCCAAAAACAGGGAAACAAAAAAAGGTATTAGGAAAGGAGAAGAATTAGCTAGTTTCCATTTAATTGTATGTACTGACAGGCACAAAACTGCTAGTAATAGCAGACAGCTACAGAAGTGTGATTGCATATGCAGAGACAGAGGTCAGGGCAAGAGACGAATTACAGGTAGTGGTGGACTGGTGACAGAATAAATTACAAACACAAGAAGAAAAGGGGCTGGCATTTTCTTCTAATAATTTGTTCAGAAAGTCTTCAATCAAATAATATTAACTGTTATATTGAACATAGCAAATTTTTTTTTTCATATACTGAAATATTGCAAGCAAACTCTCACAATTACCTCTGGTGCAACAAAATTTGCAGTATAACAAGGAGTCATGAGAAGACCATTTTCAGCTCTGAGCTGTTTTGCAAAACCAAAATCACAAATTCGAATAGATTCTGGATTACCAGATTCATCCACATAAAGAATGTTGCTAGGTTTCAAGTCTCTGTGAACCACCTAATGGAAACACATTAAAGAGTTACAATAACAATACATTTCCATCACCAAACATTCTTCAACAACACTCTTAAACAAGATGATGAGTGCTATCTTTAAATTATCCCAACATTATAAAATGCTGATAATGAAAACAAAATGCTGCTCATGTAGACATAACTCTATCACAGAACAGGAGCAAGGAGGAGGAGGAAGAACAGTATTTACCTCCCGCTCTTTGTCCAACTGAGTAACTGGTTTAAAGAGAAATACAAATAGCAATAATATCTAGCCCCAGGTATTCATTCATTCAGCAAATATTTACTGAGTGCCCATCACAGGCCAGGACCTTAGAGAAGGAGCTAAAGACAACCATGGTGAGCATACATAAAATGTGAAAGACTTACCCCTTGTGCGTGAAGATATTCAACAGTTTTGGTTATAGTAAACAGGACAGCACTGGCTTCTCGTTCAGAGAAAAATTTCTGTCTAAGAATTTTATCCAGTAATTCACCCCCTTTCATAAGTTCTGTTACTACATACACGTATTTTCCATCATCATAAACCTACAAAATTCAACATTAAAACGTGAAAAATTATTTGCACTTTTATGTTTTCAAAACAAAGTCTGCATATTAGAGAGAAATTAAAACTCATTTTATATTCATGGAATATTTTAGTTATCACAATCAATGGCAGATATGAAACTTGCAAGCAATGTTATACACACAAGAACATTAAAATAGAAATTGATGGGATTGTCTAGAAATACATCCTGTAATTTCTGTGAAACTTAATTCAAGGCAATCAAAGTAACTATGAAGGCGGACTGAACTTTTTGTTTTAGGGCTCATTCCTATTCTTGATCTCTTTTCTGTCTACTAATGACAGCAGGAACTGGTACAAACACACTCCTGTGCTTTTCCTGGAACATCTGCATTTGCAGAACTTTGAATTTATATACACAGTACTAATGAATTATTCTGGTTTTGCTCAAACTGAAAGACAAGTTGTGGCCTACCACTAAGTAGGAATATAAAGTAGCAAATTTCCACCCAATCACATAGAAACACCCGTAAACTCATAATGAAGAAGCAGAAAGCTCACTGTAATTTTGGATTTGTTACTCTAGGCAATCCCTAACTGAAGTAACCCTTTCATTACACTTCAGTCTCTTTTTACCAGTCATTGTAGAGTTACTGGAACCTTTATTAAGCTCCATAATAAGTACCAGGTACTGTACCAGGTGTTGGGGCCCCAAGTATAGAGAAAATCAGGTGCCTGCCCTCGAAGAGTTTATACTCCAGTAGGGAGAAACAAACTTATAAATAAGAGTAATAAAATGTCAGAAATGCTGTAAAAAAAAGTCTGGGGAAAATTTCAGAGACTTTGGAATTTGAAATGAAGAAAGCAATACAGATGTTTAAAAAAAAAAACAAACAAACAGTGACAGCTTGAGTTTCCAAGGCAAGGCTGAGAGACAATATTTTCTACACTTCGTTTTTAATTTACTTGGTTGGTTTCTTTGAGGTTCTGTTAATTAAAGGGACACTTAAGTTAAACAGCTTCACATTTTAATAGGACTAAGTTTAACATCTTCCTTCTAATATAGCCCTGGTGGCACAATGGTTAAGAGCTTGGCTGCTAACCAAAAGGTCGGCAGTTTAAATCCACCAGTTGCTCCTTAGAAACCCTACGGGGCAGTTCTACTCTGTCCTACAGAGTTGTTATAAGTCAGAATCGACTCGACAGCAATCTAATATTGAGTGGTGATAAATTAATCTGAGGAAATTTGAGTTTTCACTTCACAAAATCTCAGAGGTGAAAGGTACCTAGAAATCCTACGTCTTAGTTACTATGTGACACATCTGGTCTACGACCCTCAGACTTTCCACATATGTGACTACCATCAGCAAGTGAGGACTTCACGCTACCTGGGGAGCTCACTTCTTTTGCCCACAGCTCAGTTACAGTAAAAGCCACGAGGGACACAGGTAGCTGGGAATAATGCCAGACCAGGAAAAGGATACCTCGCTTGTACTAGGGGTGGTGATGGGCAGGGCAGGCTTCCTTGAAGAAGTAGTGGTAGTTGGCCAGGCAAAGAAGGAAACAGTATTCCATATCAATAGGACCATAAATTCAAAGACACAGTAGCATGAAAATACAAGGCATGCTAAAAAAACTGCACATATTACAGCATGGCTGGAGCATAGGGTGTGTGAGGAAGTTTGAAAATGAATACAGAGGAAGCAGGGACGTGAGGTTATGGGAGTATGAATTTGAGGCAGGGAAGTAACATGATTAGATGAGAGTGTTAGATCTCTCTGGCAGTACTGTGGAAGGCAGATTGGGGAGCTCATGCAGAGTGAAACTAGTGAATCCTGAATGTTAATTAATCCCCAAATGTTCAAGTAAACACATTAGAGAATCCACTTACATCCTTTAGAGTAATAATGTTTGGATGCTGTCCATAACGAAGAAGTATTTCAATTTCTTCTGTTGGGTCTCTCTTGCTTTTATCAATAATCTAAAGGGAAATATTTATAACAAAATCTCATAAACAATAGTTATAAACCTTAAGAATTTACAGTTACAGACCTAAGGTATTATCTTATGTAAATACAGTATATGTAAGCCATTTATCAACCAGTTTTACTCTAGTTCCTGGCCAGACTGTTTAATCAAAATTGGAAAACCAGTGCTGATATAGCTTGCAAGGCTGTAACATTAATTCTATCATCACATTCCTACCAGGTCTCTCTGATGTTAAGTTTGTAGGAAGTTTAGGACTTCCCACGAATTAAAAAGCCTAAAGAAAAGGTACCAAGAACACAGTTAACCTATCTTTCTTCCATCATTCAATGTCTTAAACATTTAGGAAGTCAGTTACCTTCTAACTCAATACAAATAATTAAGGGCTAGATGGGTCTCTAACACCACCAGTAGCATCTGTTTACTGAATTAACTTCACTTCCTTTAATAAAATGCTTCCATGGAATATCCCATTAGTTGTAAGCTACTTATAAAAATTAATTAACATTTAAGTAGAACAAGCTTATTTTTGAACCTAGTCAGAGAGCTATGTAGAAAACCATACCTACAATTTTACTTGGTTGGAATTAAGTTTAATTATCATAATAAAGCCCTTTAAAATACTAATAGAGTTTTCTCTTTTATGTCAGCTGTTTCTTAAAAAATATTTCTCCTTAATGTTTTAATCTGTTAAAGTAATACTATATATAAAAAAAGATAACTCAAGTTTTGCTTTCACTTTATCCAAAGGGTAGTTCGAAACAAATGTTGTGACCTTTGTATTTTCAATTTTAAAAGAGCTTAGTAATTAATATGTGCAACGAATACCCAAACACTCTAGCAACCTAGGAAAGAGCTTCCAACTCTCAATATCAGCCCAATCTCCTATCTGAGATGGATTCAGTCGTAAAACAGTTCTATATTTGCAGAACAGGGAAGACAAACCTAGGTGTCCACTGTGATGCAGAGAGATGGTCTGGGGCTAGTCTTTTGAAAACCAGAACACACTAGAGGTGCTATTTTTAGCAACATTTCCCCTGATCTGAACCCTTTATAAATTATATCTACACTCGTGCCCGTGGAACACAGATTGTAGTCATTTCAGTAGAATCTAGTTGTGCTGGGATTGGTTTTGTGCATCTATTTCAAGTCACAAGGATCCACAATAGTTGGAAGATACTCTCATGGCTTTGGGCATACTCCTAGTTTCTGAAATTCAAAGGGGACCTCAGGGCATTTCTCCTTTATGATGTGTTTAAAGAGGTGAGGTACATCTTTAAACTGCCTACTCAAGCATGTTATATCTCTTCTCTTTTCCTGTGGACAATCTGAAAATTTCTATGTACCTCCAATTTCAATAAGAGCATTGAACAGATTAAAAAATTAATTGTATTTCTATGATTCATCCTTATACCTAACAGAAAGGTTTATGGAAATTGATGACTTTTTGAGCAATAGGTTCAGGTCAGATTAATAATAATAATGTCATTTTCCTAAAAACTAAACATGAGCTACCCATATCTATATAAACTAGTTCTCAGGTTCGAGATACATTGAAAGCTTTAGACATAACTTGAATTGCTTGAGATAGAAGAGCAGAGGCTGCTAACCCAGGAAGTGAAAAGGCAGAGACCTGAATATAGTATTTGTTCATGTACAGCTAAAGGTTTGAAACTTAACCTGTATCACAGAGCTATGTGCCTTGGTTTCTTTGCTTAGAAAATTCTTACTGTCTTAAGATACCTGATGAAATTAAAACGGTTAATGATAATAGATTTTATGACAGTGGCTATTATTCTTTTTGAGGGTCACAGTTCTTTTTAAATGTGAAGGAAGAGATGAACATTTTTGCCAGGAAAATGAAAACAAACAAAAATGTGCACATAATTTTGAGGAATTCCCTGACCAGATTATGGGGTAACTCTTTTGAGAAGAAAAGAGATGTATTAAAAATCACTATAAGGGTAAACTGGATGTATGGTCACCTTCACTTTAGTCCACAGGGAAATCCATGTGGATTAAGATCCTGGAAAGTAACTAGCCAGATATTTACCTTAACTTTTTATAACAAAAGGCACACTTACTAAAGAGGAAGAGTGTAATTTTTAACTGGCACTGACTTGCATGAGTAAGAACTGTTAGAATTGCATTTTAAATCTAAAAATATTTACCTTCACTGCAAACTCCATGTTTGTGGCTTTATGTATACATCTCTTGCAAACAGAGTAGGAGCCAACTCCGATATCTTCTTTTACTTCATATCCATCAGTAAACTGAATACTGTTCCTGTGCAACTGCTGCAAACAAAATGACAGATTGATGAAATCCTTCCGTAATGACTTCGGTGCATTTCATAATAGGGGAATAGGTTACTCAGCATGCATTGTTGAGGTTAAGTATAAATATAAATGCATATCAGTAAAAAGAAAAAGGAATCTTTATAGCATTTATTCTTCTACAACTGCATATTTAGGTGATACAATGTAGAGCAGGAAATAGGCTTTAAAAAAGCTATGTTAAAAAAGAAAAAACTGAATATGTACAACAGAAAAAGCAAAGCTACTTGGGGGCCCGTAGCCTTGTCTGTAATTCGGTTCCATTCCACTCCCCAACAGGCTAGCGGTCTTTGAAGCATCTCTGACAAAGGGGAGAAGTTTGAAAATCTCTGGTACAGAAGAAATTTACGAGGATTCAGAATGGAAACATCTGGATTCTGGTCTCAGATACACTACTTACAAGACCATGTAAATCTTGACCCTGTGTTTTCTCAGAGGGAAATGGTGAGGATTAAATACAACAACGTATTGGAAAGTGAAAACTGTTATCAACATTTTGGACTATCAGTAGCCACGTCCTTATTTCTTTACCCTTGAGTAGCTTTAAGATAACTTCTACTGAAAGCTGTTAGTGGGTTAAGAACTAATAATATGTGGTAGGAGGATGAACAGCAAATTACTGGCTATGTAGACAGGCTGAGGGAAGCTGAACCTCCATGCCTCTGAGCCTCGCATAGGTTACAACTTGAATTCTGTAAAGTTTGCAGTTTCCATGTTAGGTATAGAAGTTATAATTTAAAAAACTTTCAACACATTCCTATACTTGTCATAGTAAAAGGGACACACTATTTCAACATGAACTTTGTTTTCAAAAAATGTTTAAATTGATTTTCTAGGAAGTGGAAAGCAGGATGACCCGAATCGGGAAAAGAACTTCAGCACAAAAACAACTTAATAATCAAGCAAATCCAAGCACTTATTACACCATAAAACCAATTCAATGCATCAAGAGAAATATCTGTTTTCTCTATGATTAGGAAGATGAATTTATCGTTGAATGATGCTAGGATGGGAAGAAATAACAAATCTAATGGGTTGCGCCACTTGTGTTCCTCTAATATTTAATTTACTAGTACAGTCTCCTGTTACAAACACACATACACCTACCTAGAAACCTGCCTTTACTCACTTTTTTCTTCAATTCTGATAAACAGATGGGATAATGAAGTAGAGGGCACCCATAACCATTTCTTCCTAATGATAATGGGGGCTCCAAAAGAACAAGAACACAAAACTTGAATTTTAAGTTCATGTTTATTTATTATATCTTTATAAGGCAGGAGAACCCTGGTGGCATAGTGGTTAAGAGCTTGGCAGCTAATCAAAACATCAACAGTTCGAATCCACCAGCCGCTCCTTGGAAATCCTATGGAGTAGTTCTACTCTGTCCTATAGGGTCGCTATGAGTCGCAACAGACTCACGGCAACGGGTTTGGTTTTTTGTTTGTTTGTTTGTTTATAAGGCAAGGGTTGGCAAACTCTGTCCTGAGGGCAAAATCTGGCCCTTGGCCTGATTTTGCAAACAAAGTGTTACTGGCACACAGCCATGCTCATTTGTTTATGTATTGTCTACGTCTGCTTTTGTACTACAATGGCAGAAGTTGAGTAGTCGAGTTGAATAGCTTTGACAGAGATCCTATAGCCCACAAAGCCTAAAATATTTATACTCTGGCTCTTTACAGAAAAAGTCTGCTGACCCCTGTTCTAAGGCATGAGGGAATCAGGAAACTGTAATCCATCATAGCTGACCTGACTGAGGCACACAACAAAACAAACTAGGCCTGATAAACATTTTGAAGCACAGAAGAGGGACGAGACAAGATGGTGATGTTTATCTCAACTCTCTTAGAATTTCACTTTCGGGTCAGATAGGTATCCAGGGTTTTAGGTCATGCGAGCTTTCCTTCCAATGACAAATAAAAGGAATTTCTAAGAGTAAAGTTTATTTCCATTCTAACGATATAACATGCATTTTAAGTTGCTCCCTTAAAAAGTCAGCAGAGAAAGTCTAATGATTCACGCAATGAACGATTTATTATCTGTTAACACTGCAAATTTACAATTAAGACGTTCACTCACCTGAACAATTGAATGTACACCAACTGTCTGCATAGCTTGGCTTTCATCATCTGAAGTGATTGCAACAAAACTAAATCCCCGAAAGAGCTGATGTGCATTAGCACTAGGTGGAATGCCAGGTGAATCTGAAAAGAATGAGAAGTACTAAGAAGATTCCTTTGAAAGGTAATGAAGGGAAGAACTGTTGGCATTATGACCTTTCTCCCTTGTCCGGAATTCTACTTCTCAGGCACCCAGTATATACCTCTTGTTGCCTGGGATACCCGATCTCTTAATGCCATTGCAAGTCTTAACACCCTCGTCCCTCAGAGCCTAGAAAAAAGCTAATTAGTTTGAAGAATATAAGAAATTGATGCATTACTGGTTACTGTTATTGTAAATTAGTGCTGCCCAATAGAACTTTCTGCAATGACTGAGTCATCAGCCACATGAGAAACTGAATTTTTAATTAATTTAAAATTAAACAGCACAGTTCTAAATGACAACCTAAAAATGCTATGGCTCCTAGTTAGGGAGGAAATACAAGTAGAAAGGCATTTAGTCCAATGCTCTCAATATTTAATGTTGGAATTGAAAAATCTAAATCACAAGTTAAAAATTACTATCTTTAAGAAAAGTAATTTCAAGGACAATTATGATGTATAGCCCTTAAAATATATTTTAGGACATGATGTGTATGTACTGTTATTCAAATTATCTATGTGGACTCTATCAGCAGTCACAAAAATGGAAAAATACTTGTACAACATAATACTATAAAAACAATAAAAGCATAGTAACTGTGCTATTCATAAAGATAAACACACTTAGGCAAACTAATATTTATAAACATACTATCAAGGCTGAGGGCAAGCAAAAACCAAATACACAACTCTATTTAAACACCAACTCAACATAAAGTTCTTTTTAAAAATCAGGTTGGTATTCTCAGTATGTATATTGTTCAGTGGATTTTAAATCAATGTGACAGTTATTATATTGAAGACTTCTGCCAAGGGGAACTATCAGGACAGAATGCAATAGAAAACTGTTCTATTCTGAGGATTTTCCAGGACAAACTGTATTGAGAAAGCAAAGTAAAACACCACCATAGATCTTTAACTCTACGTATATGAGTTGAAAAAATAGTTTTGTTCATGTATTGGTCTAAATTTCTAAGATTGTCTTATAAGCATAATAACCACCCAGCAATGCTTCATGTAGATGGTGAGGATTTTAGCTGGAAAGCTTTATAGCTAGTTTTGAATGATGTACTCAAGTATCATTCAAGTATATGCAAGTATACTTTCCATTTATTTGCTTGTGAATGATAAACCTGGGGTTTGGTACACGTAAATGAGAGCATATTAGAGTGCAAAACACAGTATATACATGCATACACCATTATGTATACACACCAATTAATGAAATACAGGTTACCATTTCAAAGATAACTTTCCTATAAGTCACTGTTTATGCAATTTTAGGATCAAGCATGACACAGGAAGTGAATCATTTAAGTTATCACATCTCATATAAAGTTTAAGTTACATCTGGGATTTGAACTTCACAAGTATTTCAAGAATACCACCTGTAATTAGAGTTTTAAAGAGCACTATTTATACTGAAGAGTATTTCATGTAAAAATAGCTACAGGTAAATAAATGCACAATTAAACAAGTAATTTTTTCCACATAAATAGTATCAAAGTTTAAGAATATCTACTCAATCTATGGAGCCCTGGTAACACACTGTGTAAGAAGAACTCGGCTGCTAACCAAAAGGTAAGCAGTTCGAATCCACCAGGCACTCCCTGGAAACCCCATGGGGCAGTTTTACTCTGTCCTATAAGGCCGCTATGAGTGGGAATTGACTTGATGGCAACGGGTCTGGTTTGGTTTTTGGTATTCAACTTACAAGTAAGAGTGAAAACATGGAATCTAAAACACCACAGATCAACACGCAGAAACGCAGAAACGCAGAAAGGTATCTTCATACTATTATAATAAGGTTATGAACACAAACAGACTTATAATTTGTAAAAGACTTAATAAGCATCTTAACTGCTATACAACACTGAAAAGGATTTGCTAACGATCTAATTACTGTGGCACAGATATGGTGTTTAATGATTTTAAATTTGCAAGGATAACATAAATGGCTTTATTGGAAAAGATTTTCTGACTAAACACACACAAATATATACATTGTCTTACATTTCCTTAATTTCTCTTTACCTTTGGGAGTTTTTGCAGTAAATTCGGGATCAAAATAGAATGTGTCTTCAGGCCTGCCAGTTGCAGGTTTAAAAGGTGGATGAATTTCTCTTCTGTACAATTTCTGGAAAGAAAAAGAGAGACTTGTACATGTGTTAACTATAAAAAAAGTATTTGGAGCAAGTTTTCAGACTATACTTACATTCCAGTCTATCGTTGAGAAAAATGAATGTCTTTTGATTTCTTCAACTCCATCTGGTCCTGCGCCTATCAAAAGTTAAGTAGTTGTGACTAAATGGTAATTTTATTTTAATATTTTATAATCCTACCACAAAAACGAACATCCATCCCCTTCGCCTCCAAATAACAAACATTCACTAACAAACACACAAAAGAATCAAAGTAATTAAAATTATTACCTAGTCTGTTAGCAGGATTTCGTTTGAAAAGCATTCGTAAAAGACTCTGGGCTTCAGGACTCAAAAACTGTGGCATCCCAAGTTTGGCCCTAAATAACAAACCCACATAATACAATTTTAATTTCTGGAGGCGTCTATGTTTTTACTTTTAAAATTAAACTTTTTATTTTTGAGATAATTGTAGATTCACACCCACTTGTATGAAATAATACACAGAGAACCTCCATGCCCCTTACCCAGTTTCCCCCCAATAGTAAATGGCTTACAAAACTATAGCACAATATTACAACCAAGATACTGATGTTGATAATCCACTGATCTCATTCAGATGTCCCCAGTTTTTCTTCCACTTCTCTGTGTGTGTTTAGTTCTACGCCATTTTACCACATGTATAGGTTCCTGTATCCACCACCACAGTTAAGATACTGAACAGTTCACCACGAGCATCCCTCATGTTAGCCCCTCTTCCCTACTGTTCTTGTTAGGTGTCCTATGTTAGCGACCCTATGTACAAGAGAACGAAATACTGCCTGGTCCTGTGCCATCCTCACAATTGTTGCTATCTTTGAGCTCGTTGTTGCAGCCACTGTGTCAATCCATGTTGTTGAGGGTCTTCCTCTTTTTCTCTGACCCTCTACTTTACCAAGCATGATGTCCTTCTCCAGGGACTAATCCCTCCTGATAACATGTCCAAAGTATGCGAGACGAAGTCGCACCATCTTCGCTTCTAAGGAGTATCCTGGCTGTACTTCTTCAAGGACAGACTTGTTCGTTCTTCTGGCAGTCCATGTTATATTCAATATTCTTTGCCAGTACCATAAAGGCATCAATTCTTCTTCAATCTTCCTTACTCACTGTCCAGCTTTTGCACGCGTATGAGACGACTGAAAATATCATGGCTTGGGTCAGGTGCAACTTAGTCCTTAAAGTGACATCTTTGTTTTTTAATACTTTAAAGAAGTCTTAAGCCCTGGCAACCACTAATCTGTTCTCCATTTCTGTAATTTTGTCATTGCAAGAAAGTTTCATAATAATGGAATCATATAGTATGTAATCTTTTGGGGATTGGATTTTTTCACTCAGCATAATTCATTCCCTGGAGATTCATCCAAGTTGTTGTCATTAGTTCAACCCCTCTTCTTGCACAGTAGTATTCCATGGCATGGAAATACCATAGTTTGTTTATCCATTTACCCATTAAAGAACATCTGAACTGTTACAGTTTTGGGCTAGTACAAATAAAGCTGTTGTGAACATTAATGTACAGGTTTTTGTGTGAACACATAATAGAATTTTAGTCCATAATCTAGTGAACTTTTTCATTTTTCAGAATTTTCTAAAGAGTACTTCAAGAATAAGATCATCCGAATCCTGGTTCTGGCTGTTACTTAGAACTCTGTGATTTGGGAAAGTCAATCCCTTTGGGCCTGCTACCACTTCTTCACAAGTAAAGGGATTGGGTGTTAGGCTCCCAAACTATATATATATATAGCCTTGTGACTCCTTTCTCAAAGAGAGTTTATGAAGTTCAACATTGAAAACTGTCAAAAGTACATATGCTTCATATTCCTATTTTTCCTCCTATTCCCATTAATAGCCTGTGAGGGGATGAGGAGCTGGTGGGAAAGGGGTCTGTGGAACATCTAAGACTCTGTGGCACACAGTCTGAAAACCATGGCCTGGATGAGCTTGAAGGTTGGGTGCTGCTTTCTATATATTTTAATTCTTTTTCCCAAACTACAAATTAAGGAAACCAATTATCCTGTAAGTATGAAAATAATAACAGAGCTGGGAAAAATGGCTAGCAGAAAAACTTTTATTTCAGAAACACATCCATTCATTACTCAGGGAGCTATTACTGAGCTGCTGCATGCCCGACACTACTCAGTGCGGAGGATACAAAGATAAAGATAGACCCCATGGTTCAGTAAGGAAGACGGATAAGCATATACATAATCCTAGTACATTAAGAGACAAATTCAGAAAGACATATGGAAAGAGTGCTAAAGGAACAGTCCCACTGCTGTAGAGTCAATTCTGACTCACAGCGACCCTACGGGACAGAGCAGAACTGCCCTGTATGGGCTTCCAAGGCTGCAATCTTTATGGAAGCTGACTGGAGAGTGGCTGGTGGGTTCGAATCACCAGCCTTTTAGTTAGCAGTCAAGCGCTTAACCATTGCACCACCAGGGCTCATTAAGGGAAGAGCAGGGAATATCTACTTTAACATGGGAGAGTCAACAAAGGATTCACTGCTTTGTGAACACTTGCAACAATTTTCCTAAATGTCAGCATGTCTCGGGACTCTCTCTGGGCCCATCTCGTCACTTTCATGGCTTCATTTGGCATTGATATGCTACTACTCCAAATTCCTCTCTCCAATCAAGACCTCACCTTTAAGTAAAAGAGTCACAGATCTAACTTGATCCACCTGGCTATTTTGCAGGTATCTTAAAATCAAGGCACTTATTATTGAGCTCATGTTCCCAGCTCAAATCTGGCCTTCCAAAGCTGCCTAGCTCAGTAAATGGCGCTACAATCCATCTAATTTCTCAAGGCAGAAAAGCATATGTCATCCTACATTCACTTTTTTTTCACTTACTCCCAAACATCCAAGCAATTACTATCCTATCCCTATATTTCATCTATTGTAAGACACACATTTTACCATTTTTGAAAGTGTTATGAATCTCAACAGTTGATAATATGTCATAGTTTAATTGGAAGTGTCTGGGTGATTGGTATATGTGTGTTCAATGTGTTATTCTATTTTTGAAAATATACATTTGACAGTTTTCATAACTAAAAAAAAAAAAAGTTAGGCAGAGAAGTAAAGGTCAAGCAAAACAGACCATAAAAGGAATGGTTCCAGAGGAAGGAGAATCAGCTGAGTGCAGGAAAAATTAAGGAGGGAGATGTTGCCAACAGTGTTAAGTACTCCTTGAGAGGTCTTCCTTAAATGTCCCATCTAAAATGGTTCCTTCCAATTCTAGTAAAAAGACCAGACTTAATGGTCTGAGACTGGAGGAACCTCAGAAAGCATGGCCCCTGGACTCTCTGTCAATCAGAACTAAACAATTCCCGAGGCCAGCTCTTCAGACAAAGATTGAACTGGACTGTGGGACATAAAATGACACTCGTGAAGAGTGTGCTTCTTAGCTCAAGTAGATACATGAGACTAAATGGGCAGCTCCCATCCAGAGGTGAGATGAGAAGGCAGACAGAGTCAGGAGCTGGTTGAATGGACATGGGAAATCAGGGGTGGAAAGGAGGAAAGTGTTGTCACAGTATAGGGAGAGCAACTAGGGTCACATAACAATGTATGTATAAATTTTTGTATGAGAGACTGACTTGAATTGTAAACTTTCACTTAAACTACAACAATAAATAAATAAAATGGCTCCTTCCTCCTGCCTCTTCCCTCATACAAGGGGTCACTATCAGAGTAGTCTGGATTATTATTACTCTATTATTTATTATTAGTAGTAGCAGTACTAGCAGCTTGGGAATTATCATTAGCTCCTATTACTACCTGAAATTATCATATCTGTTTAAACGTTAATTCCCTGTCTTCCTCAAACTTTTTCCCCATTTCCAATAATGCTACTATGAACATCTTTGTACTTGTTTCTTTGTGTACAAGTACTTCGTTGCATATTAACTGGGTGCATGCCTAGGAGTGGGACTGTTGGATTAAGAGGGTATACCTATCTTTTGGCAAATCTGCTGCAAAAGACCTCTTTAAAATGTTAAAAAAGCAAACATGTCACTTTGCAGACTAAGGTGCGTCTGACCCAAGCTATGATATTTTCAACTGCCTCATATGCAAGCGAAAGCGAGACAATGAATAAGAAAGACTGAAGAAGAATCGATTCCTTTGAATTACAGTGTTGGTGAAGAATACTGAATATACCATGGACTGCCAAAAGAATGATCAAATCTGTCTTGGAAGAAGTACAGCCAGAATGTGCCTTATAGGAGCGAGGATGGCGAGACTTCATCTCACATACTTTGGACATGTTATCAGGAGCAACCAGTCCCTGGAGAAGGAGATCATGCTTAGTAAAGTAGAGGGTCAGCAAAAAAGAGGAAGACTCTCAATGAGATGGGTTGACACAGTAGCGGCAACAATGGGCTCAAGCACAACAATTGTGATGACAGCATAGGACCAGGCAGTGTTTCGTTCAGTTGTACATAGGGTCACTGTGAGTTGGAACTGACTCCAGGGAACCTAGCAACAACAACCTATATTTGACTTTAGAAGATAATTACAAAAACTGATTTCCTAACAGGTATTTGTATTTCTTCCAGCTATATATGAAAGTTGTCACTGCTCCACACCCCACCAACACTTTGTACTGTCAATCTTTAATGTTAGCCATTCTGGTAGATATACAGTGGTAGTCCACCGTGGTTTTAATTTACACTTTCTAATTAATGACGTTGAGCATGTTTTTCTAAGTTTACTGGCCACTGAATATCCTCTTTTGTGAAATCCCTAAGTCTCTTGCCCATTTTTCTGGTGGGTTGTCTTTTTCTTACTGCTTTAATGGACTTCTTGATATAGTCTGGATACAAGCCCTTTGTTAGTTATATATGTCACAAATTACTTCTACTCTCCTTAATGGAATCTTTTGAAGAGAAGTTACTAACTTCAATGTAGTTACAATGTATCAATCTTTCCCTTTATGGTTAGTGTTTTTTGTGTCCTGTTTAAGACATCTTTTCCTAGGCCAAGGTCAAGAAGATATTCTCTTCTAGAATCTTTTTTGCCTTTATATGTATTTATAACATTCAAGTAAACAACTTTTGTGTATGGTGTCAGGTAGGGATTATTTTGCTTTTTCTATAAAAATGTACAAATTTTCCAGAATGATTTATTAAAAAGGCTGTTCCTTCCCTACTGTCTGTTATTCCCAATGGTCATAAATTGTGTTTGTCATGGATTGAGTTGTGTCCCCCAAAAATATCTGTCAGCTTGGGTGGGTCACGATTCCCAGCGTTGTATGATTGTGTAATCTGATGTGATTTCCTTATGTGTTGTAAAGTCTATCACTGTGATCAGGTTATACTGATGAGGTTTACAAGATTAGACAGTGTCTTAATGCAATCTCTTCTGAGATATAAAAGAGAGAAGCGAGCAGAGACACATGGGAACCTCACACCACCAAGAAAGCAGTGCTGGGAGCACAGCGCATCCTCTGGACCAGAGGTTCCTGCACTGAGATGCTCCCAGACCAAGCGAAGACTGATGCATCACAAGGACCTTCCTCCAGAGCCGACAGAGAGAGACAGCCTTCTCCTGGAGCTGATGCCCTGAATTTGGATTTGTAGCCTACAGGACTGTGAGAGAATAAACTTCTATTGTTAAAGCCATCCACTTGTGGTATCTCTGTTATAGCAGCACTAGATGACTAAGACGGCATTCATATATCACTAGGTCTGTTTCTGGGCTCTTTATTTTATTGCATTGTTTTATTTTTCATATATTTTTCAATGACATATTGTCCCTAACTACAGGAGTTTTATAGTAAGACTTGCTACCTGGTAAAGTCAGTCTTCCTATCTTGATCTCCTTTAAAAGTGTTTTAGCTCTTCTTGGTCTTTCTATTATCACATTAGAATCAGTTTGTCAAGTTCCATGCCAAAATTTTTTAGGATTTTTACTTGATTTCATTGAAACTATGGTTGTGTTATCTAATACAGTAGCTGCTAGACACATATGGCTATTGAGCATTTCAAATGTGGGCAGTCCAACTTGTAAGTGTAAATTACACACCAGATTTTAAAGAATAAATATGAAAAAAGAATGTAAAATATCTCATTAGTAATTTTTTATGTTAATTACATTTTTAAATGATAATATTTTGGATATATTGGGCTAAATGTTATTAAAATTAATTTCAACTGTTTCCATGTATGTTTTAAAAATGTGGCTAATAGAAAATTTTAAATTATGTTATGTGGCTTACATTATATTTCCATTGGACAACACTGATCTATACAACACTGGGTCTGTCATAATATGAATGTGGTATATCCTTCCAAGTTATTTTGGTCTTTATATTCTCTAAATGTAATTTTGTATTTTTCTGCATACAAGGCCTTGTATAACTTTGCTTAGATATATCCCTAGGTATTTGGTACTTTTTAAAATTATTATAAACAGTATCTTCTTTTAAAATTCCATTCTGTTTGCTACTAATCTACAGACATGAAACAGATTTTTGTTTATTGATCTTGTATCCAGCAATTTTGCTAAAGTCTTATTAATTCCAATAATTTATATGAAGATTTGGATTTTCAATGTATACAATCATGTTATCTAAATAACAACATTTTTATCTTTTCCTTTTAAACCTTATTTCTTTTGCTTGCCTTACTATACTGACTATGACCTCCAAGAAAATGTGAACAGAAGTAGAATAATGGGCATCCTTGTCATGTTTCCAATCTCCAAAGTAAACCTTTCAGTATTTCACCATTAACACAAAGATAATACGGGTACAGACAGTTCCTGACTTGCAAGGCATTCGAGTTACAAGGAACTGCACTTACAACCATCCTTTTTTTTTGTACATCTTATCGTTAGTAGTATGTACTATATACAATGTTGCGGTGCATAATTTTCTGGTATCATAATATCTGTAAGTTTATACATGATGTTTCCAACCCCCAAAGACAAATAGAGATCAGATTTATAAAGATACTGATAATAAAGTACAATAATAATGAAGACTGGAAAAAAAAAACCATGAGGTATTTGACGGAGTCGCGGAATGTAACCCTGTCGTTAAGTTGGGGACTACCTGTACTCTGAAAATAGAGGGGATTTGCTCTTATTTAAGTCATATAATATTGATGAATTTCTTAGTTATTTCTTACACTATAGCTGACATTCTAAAATCTTATTTTCTAGTTTGCAGCATTTATTTTTAAACACCATCAAAACATATATAAAAGAGTACTTACTTAAGAATCATAGTCATTGTTTCTTTTCGATCTTTTCCTTGGAAAGGTAGTGTACCAGTGAGCATTTCAAACTATAAAAAGGCAAAATAATCAATAGCATTAGCCAGTAAGTATAAAATCTAAAGGCTAAAAGGTAAAAAAGCATCATCTTAATTAGAACCAAATCTTCTAAAGTTGTTACATAATAAAACAAACAAGTGGCTTATATTTCTACCATATTCAATACTAAAAATTTTGATAATCCCTAAAAGACAACTGAATTATAGTTATTTTGCAGAAATTAATTACCTTTTAAATGGCAAGATATAAATATGTGAAAATTTTGACAGATTTGCCAGTTTCATATGAATTTATTTTTAAGGACCCCTTACCAACAAATACCTGGATCAGGTTCTCCCAAAGAGTAAACACTATCAATGCTTTAGATTGTTATGATTTGCAGAAAATCTAAGGCAATACATTTTTGCCTTTTCAAGTTTAGAATGAGATGGAAGCCAATGATGTATTCCATAATCCTTCTATACTGTATGCAATGATTTTTCTTGGTTATTTGTTACATAAACTATAAAATACAGAAAATCAAAATACCAGTTTCTCTCTCTCAATATCCACTGGTGATTCTCATTTAACAAGCAAAACAAAACAACAAAAAAAAACCCAAAAACTCACCATAAGCACACCAAAAGACCACCAATCAGCACTCTGAGTATGGCCACGACGATTAACTACTTCTGGAGCCATATATTCCACAGTTCCACAAAAAGAATATGCCTTCTTTTCATGGTCAATAGACTCTTTACTTAGGCCAAAATCTGCCAAGATAAATATTGAATTCATTAAATATCTTACAATAATTTGCACGTCAATTTCAAACTCTGAGTTTCAACATTAACATAATTGTTTAAGAATTCTAATCCAAGTTTTCAACACAATGAATTACTTAATATTTGTATACGTACTCCTCACTGATAGACTATCTTGTTATCCAACACTCCGCATTTACGACAGTAGTAAAAATCTAACGAGGAGGTGGGCATGGTGGCAAAAGCTGCAGTGTCCCTTCCTCCCTCGAGGAGGGTCTCTGGGCTGACTCCAGGAAGCTGGACTGCGCTCTCTACTCCCCCTGCCTGCGCTGGCCAGCTTCCTCCGTGGCCTTGGCTGTGCGCAGCAGCACCATGCCAGTGGGCACCTGTTGCCTGTTCTAGGTTTCTAGCTCCTACGTGGCCTGAAGCCTTGCAGCTCAAAACTGCTGTGAGGTGGGAAGGGAGGAAAGAAAGAGGCATTGGAGAGGGTGTTTGGAAGAAATGCGGGCCAGTTTAATGACATCCCAAAGTGAGATGAACTGGGCCTAAGGCCTCTGCCTGGGTTGGGCTGCCTGCGCCGCCAGGTTCCTGGTACCCTTGCTGGAAGCCCTGAGCCTTGGTGACTGGCCAGGTCCGGAGTACAGAGCAGACTCCAGGATCATGAACGCAGGACTTGCAGGGTGGGAGTGGAACCCTGCAGGCGGCTCCCTGACGGAAGGTCTGATGCAGCACAGGAGGAAGGTGAAGTGGTTAAGCTGTGTGCCCTCCACTCACACAGCCTGCCTTTAATCCAGCTTTGTCTCCTCCAAGCCTCCTCCACAGAGGAATACTCCATAACTAGACTTGTTACACTGATGAGCACATCAGTAAATCTTAGCTGCTATTATTTCTATGATCATATTTTCTAAATAAAAAAAAATCAGACAAATGGATGGTCTGAAAACGGGGAAAAATCCTCCATTTTCATATAACGTTGATTTTTGCATAACAACCTGGTGGTCTTTGGGACCTAACCATGTCGATCAGTGAGGAGTGGGTGTACATAGGGTTGGAAAGATATTTCAATAAAATGAGGATTTTTACCTGTTAACTTGATGTGACCTTCTTCATCAAGAAGTATGCTAAATGCAAACAAAGTCAGAAAATCTTTTAATACCACTAAAAAGAAATTATGGAAGCTAAAATTGAAATTACTTCCTCAAACATCAGATCAGTGTATTACTTCTAAAATATTACTTCAGACTGTGAATAAAAAGGCAAAGGTATAGCAGGAAAATTATTTTTGGGCATACATACATAACAAATCCCCAAGTCAAAACCATAAACTTATATTGAGCCAGAGGCACTTGAGAAGTATTAGGATAAGAACCCAAAAACCTATGCTCTTCAAAGCTGCCCTTTCTAGTGTCTTTTTGCAGAGGTGGCTAACTTCCCAGTGCTCGCTCAAAATAGAGAGAGGGTCCACATATTTAAGTCAAATTCAGGAGTTCTTATTCTCCTGTCATTTTTAAGGCACCTGACTCCATTATTCTTTCCTAGTTTTATTTCTGACACCACATACAAAATTCTTTTCTCCTCAACACATCACCTTCCTCATCTTCTTTCATACCTTTTTCTTCACTGATCCATCCCCCTTCACTCTATAAATTTTCCAGTGTTTGCTCTCTTCCCAGTAAATTGTGACCGCCTAGAGGGTTATCCTCTTATTCATCTTTGTAGCTCTGTGTCTGATAGACCACTGACAAATAAGTAATGTTTGCTGAATGAAAGGGTGAGGTCCCTCAGGTAGGATGGGGTCAGAGTGCAAAGGGCCTTATAAGGCATTCCAAATACTTTGGGCTTCTTACCAAGGACAGTGAAGACTGCAAAAGGTTTACATGCATGGAAGGTAAAGATAATCTAATTTTCAATTTTGGAAAACAATTTAGAGGCATTTGGTGAGCTCTAAGACATGAGTTATGATAAAGAAGAACTAATGGATAATAACACTAAAATTTCTGGCTTGAGCAACTACTTGAGTGGAAAGTAATGCCATTAATTAAGGAACTACAGAAAGGAGTAAGTACTAAGCTGTAAGTCACTAATTTTACTTTCAGACAGGTATTTTAGTATACTGATTTGAAAAGTCAATTAATGAATTTTTCACTTACATTTAAAGCTATCTTATAATAATCTTATTAATTACTTTTAATTCTTACATAAAAAAATTTGCCAGTAAGACTTTGTATAATAAAATTTTATTATGACAAAAATACTACCAACTTTCCTATTTCATCAGTGCAAGTACAATTACAACAAGGTATACAACTGGGGATAATTCAGTAGGGACATATTTTTCAAGTCCCTTTCATAACAAAGGGTTTCTTATGAAAAAATATTAAATACTTGATTATGAAGCAGACCGACATATCTAGGGAACAAAAGGAATTATTAGATGTGGTGCAAATTATCCACCCTTCTGTCTAATAAATACAAGAAAGATAGTGTTAAAAACAAAACAAACCTCAAATCATTCTTGGTTAGTTTTGAGAAGGAAAAAAAAAGAAAGAAAATATGGCTGAAAGGGCATTACTTATGCCTTCTATAGCATCATAAAATCTACAAGCTTTTAAGATAACCCTACACACACCTTAACTTTCAAAAAGTCAACTGTATTACTCTCAATGAACAAAGTTCTTTTTCAACTATTAACAATTATTTTTAGCAATATTTACTGCTAACAGAGTTCTAGAAAAGTTACTTGTTATTTTTAGGTACTGTTGTGTTGGTTCCAACTCAGGGCGACCCTACGTACAATAGAATGAAACACTGCCCAGTCCTGTGCCATCCTCACAATCACTGCTATGCTTGAGTCCATTGTTGTAGCCTGTATCAATCGATCTAGTTGAGGGTCCTCCTCTTTTTCGCTGAGTGGCTAGCATAGTTTAAGTTTAAAAGATCTGGAAAACCCCTTATGGTTTGTGAAACACCTGGCCTAAAAAATGTAAATTTCTTCCAAGTTCTATACAATGGTATTTAATTGGATCATTTTCCAATTAAATGTTATTTCAATTCAATAGCGTCATTAGACACCTATGTGAAAGATCTCATTATAAGTAATCTTATCTACTTCTGATCTTATTCAACCTTTGAGACAGCGCCCATGTTTTACACTCAATTTTATGACTAATGCTAATACAACGGTCTACAAGAAATACATTAAATCAAAGGATATGAAAACTTAAAACATTTTTCTTATGAATGTTTAATCTTATGTTTATAGTAATTTTTTTCTTCAAAGGACTATATGCTTCAATGTTTATTCCCACCAGGAATTACATTTTATGTCATGACAGTTAGAAGTTGAGAAAACAATGAGAAAAACACAGTAGTTATCTGGGGAATAAAAACAGAACCATACGATACTTACCCAAAAATAAAATACATGGAAAACGAAGGTAAAATGCAAAAGCACAATAATTTTTAAATGATCACCTAACAGGATTCCAAAGGATCATCTCCTCTATTTCCTGTTACAGTATATAATTTAAATCCTGCATGTAACATTTTAAAGTAAGAGATATTCAAAATTCTTGATAAAGGTGATGGTTTCAAAACTATGAATATAATAAAAACCACTCAATTACACACATAAATGGAAAAACTGTATCCTATGTGAAGTATACCTCAATAAAGCTGCTTTAAAGTATTTGTGATATAGTGAGGTTCTTGTTTGTATCCTTAAAGACGAAAAAAGACTTTCTTATGCAAAACTGGTAGACAGCAAACACTGACAAATTAAAACAGACTTGTGTACAATTTAAATAGTATCAGCTTCTTGATAATTGCTACTATAAAAGTTATGGGAAATTTGCTAAACTTACATTTCAAATTTGAAATTATGTGTGAGATAAAATTTTCAATAAATGATGTCTGGGGGAAAAAGTTAGCTCTACACCATTCCCTCACACCAAAAAATTTCTAGATGGAGTTGCAAGTAAACAACAAAAAAAGAAAGAAAAGACACCATAAAATCAGAAGAAAAACATCTGATCAGAAATTGAGAAAGCCTTCCCAAGAATAAAAGTCATGGAAGAAATCATAAAAGACTGGTAGATTTTACTAAAAAAAAATTTGTATAGGTTAAAATAACATAAACAAAGGTAAAATTAAAAGAAAAACTAGAAAAATGCATTTGTAATATGTCAAATGATTAAACTTCTTAATTTGTAAAGGCCTCTTACAAATCAACGGGAAAAAACAACACCTCGAAAGAAACATAGCAAAGAAAATTCACACAAATATACAAATTATCAATAAAACTCATTAGAAATGAAAGAATGCAAATTAAAGATAACATTTTTCCCGATTAACAGAGACTGAAACAGTATTAAGATACACAGTGTTGTTAGCATAAGTACTCTAATACAATACTTGTTTGAGTTCTATGAAATAATTATTTTTATTACCTAAACAATCATACTATATCATATTCAACTTAATAGCATCATTCCTTACTTTTCTGGTTTCAAGTCTCTATAGATTATTCCCAGGCTATGTAGATGGTCTAAAGCAAGTGCAAGTTCAGCCAAGTAGAATTTGACATCTTCTTCTGTGAACATCACCTAAAATAAAATAGTAACTTTTTGGTCTTTACTTTCTTTTGGTATTTGTGATTTCTATTTAAACGTCTGCCCTGGAGTTAAAATATTCAAAAATATTATAAATATGCTAAGTACACTTAGTTTCCACTATTTACTTACAAGAGCAACTTGCAAAAAATGATCTGTCAGCCAACCACTTACTAAATGCTAACTACATACTGTGGAGGAAATAATTTTACATTTTGTTAGGTAACAACTGTATTTGGGTTGTGCCATTGTTGTCCCACCAAAGTAACATTTTAGAAATGAAAAGTGGTGTTTAAAATGCATGCTGAATTTCCACTATTATTAATTGTTTCAGGATACCATATTGATGTATTATTGCTTCTGAGAAAACTATAACTAGAAGAAGCAGGGCTAAGGCAAAGACAGTTTGTCAATTTAAAGTCTTGCTTCCAAAATAAATTCAAAAGTTAGGAAAATAACACTTTTTTGGGGGGTCTGATTCTTCAACGTAAGAACCTTGTGCTGCTAGAGAAAATACAGTAAGCATAATATTGAAATGTAACAAAGCTTTAGTTGGAACAGGATTTGTATAAATAGATTAAAAATAGAGATTAATTATATACCTCTTTGGATAAGCGCGTAAACAAATCTCCTCCCCTGAGAAAATCCAAAATAAGATACAGTTTCCCTTCAGTTTGAAAAGCTGAATGAAGAAACAAAAATTTCCATTTAATCCATCGTGGTTTTAGGCTTATATTAGGTCAACTCATTCACAAATAAATACAATTTTTAGTAAATTCCTGATTCTGTTACAGATATAAACTTATTTTTATTTAGAGGAAAACCACCGATTGTCCTTAGTTTCTAAGTGGAAATGTTAAGTGCAGCGTTTCTTATTATGGAACCATTAGAACATCTGTAAGGTTTTCCTTCAGGCAAGAGTCTCTCAGGGATACAACAGTTCTAAACACACGTGACCAATGAGAAAACCTCCCAACAGTAAAAGACTAATTTAACCAAGAAACAAAATACAAAAACCACCACGCTAAGGTAAGATTTAAATACACATAATAAGAATCATCACGCCTTTACCCATTAAGAAAACGCACATGGCTTTGGGGAAAAGAAATGTGGGGAATAGTTTTAGGACACTTTATCCTGGCACTGGGGATCTTTCTTGCTTTTAAGTTGCACTAACACATATGGACTATTAAAATACTGGTGGTACATTATTATTAACAAAAACACAATTATTATTATTACCTTTTCCTATGGCTACTACTCAGAAATTATCTACCTAATGCTTAAAAGAAATGTAACCTAAACGCAATAAAACCTTCTGAAGTTTGCCTAAAAAAGTCATGTTTTAATTTCCATGACTTTACTATATGTATCTGCTAAACTCATATGGATATAAACAAAATACATGCTTACATATATGGGTATACCTGAGTACACTCAGGTAGTGGAGGATAAGGTGAAGGGATGAGGTGAGAGGTGGTTCCTAACTTACCATAATGCAACTTGACAATAAAAGGATGGTTAACCTCTACCAAGATATCACGCTCCATTTTTGTCCGCACACGGTCTCGAACTATAAAACATTACACAAATGGCTGTATTACAATAGCTTTCAGAGAAAATCTGTAAAACAAATTCTTTATGGTGCCTATTTTAAGTAAAATTTTGCTAATATGAATAAAAATGTGAATGTTTTCAATTTACGACTCTTGAGTTTTCAAAAAAAATTAGTAAGTACATCTTTTACTAAATTATACAACCAAAAGGAATTGTATATATTTTAAAATCTGTACTTAAAAAGAAATAGAACTGTTAGATGTTGGTTTAACATCAAATTTACAAGCATGTTAATCAAAGTTATGGAAAATGGCAAAAAAAAGCAACTTTAAAAAAAATAAGGCATTCCAATGAAATACTAAAATACCAAAAAAACAAACAAACAAAAACAAACTGAATATGAGTTTCAATACTTCTACCAACCCTATCAACTCAATTCAACAAACATTTATTAAGTATCTATAAAATATGGCTGACATGGTGAAAGACATACACCCAAATAGACCTATGTTGAGGGACAGAAAGAACAGAGATACCATGGTACAGCTGAAAGAGCAAAGGGTGTTTTGAATTAGATCAGATTCAGATCTGTATAATCTTGAGCAAGTTACTTATTTAATCTCTCCGAGCCTCATTTACTTCTCAGTATAAAATGGGGATAACACTGCTGGACCTTTGGAATCATGTGACCATTTGAGATAAGATTTGTACATCCCTGAGTCTGGTATGTAAGAGATATTTAATCAAATGGTAGCTATCATTACGTAGTCCCTGCTTGGTGTAAACAGTTAAGTGCTTGGCTAACCAAAATGTTGATGGTTTGAGTCCACCCACAGGTACCTTGGAAGAAAGGCCTGTTGATCTACCACCAGAAAAAAAAAAATTGACCATCGAAAACCTAGGGAACACAGTTCTACTCTGATGTATATGGTGTCACTAGGAGTAGGGCTCAATGGTAACTGGCTTGGTTTTTTGTTGTGGCTTTCGGTATCATTACATCAAAAGTATCACCATTAATATGATTAAAGGATAAAATGATTTATTACCAGCAATAAGTAGTACAGGAATTCAGAGAAAGGAAAGTTCAGTTTTACCTGCATAGGAAGGCTAGATGAAAGCGGTGGGGTTAGGGCACAGGCTTTAAGAATGAGTGGCATTTAGATGGGTGGGAAGGATAGGGAGGGGAGAACAGTTCAGGTATAGAGGACCAACCAGTGAGAGCAAACAAGTGGAGGCAAGAATGACAAAGGAGAAGAAACAAAATCAGTGTGAAAAACAAGGGTTTACTACTGGGGAGGTGACTTATGGAGGATGCAGATTCCTGACAAATTGGATTGCAAGGATGACTTTATGTCTGACCCTATAGGGAAAGTGCTCTTTCACCAACCAAATGTTTCCTGAGCAAATTCTTTGTGCCAGGCACTGGGAGATACAAATACAAGTAAGATATTCTTCAAGAAGCTCATAATCTAGTGGGAATGACAGACAATTAAATAAATCATTAGAATACATTCTGAAAGTACTATGATTGTGTTGGTAGCTCAATGGATTTCTGTGTGAGAATGTTCAGCCATTAAACTTTTTATTTTATTCTGATACATAATAAGAAGGATGAAATCATAAATGGCTTCTATGTTTCAGGTATGAATAACTGAATGGTTCTGCCAAAGATTAAAAGCAAGAGTTTGGGAGTCTCTTTTAGGGGGTGAGGATAGGGAAAAAGACAGGTTGGTTTTATTTCTTTTTCTCTTTACCCTTTTAAAATAATGGCTTTATTGAGATAGAATTCACCCTTTAAAAATGTTTACTTTGGTAAAATATATAAATAATAAAAATTTTGCCATTTTAAATGTACAATTCAGTGACATTAGTTACATTCACCATGTTGTACGACCATCACCACTATACATTTCCAAAAGTTCTCATCACTCCACAGAGAAACTCAGTGCCCCTTAAGCAATAGTTCTCCGTTCCTCTATCTTCCTCAGCCCCTGGAACTACTAATAAAGTTTTGTCTCTACATATTTGCCTATTCTAGATAGATAGTTCATATAAGTAGGATTATACAATATTCATCCTTTTGCGTCTGATTTAACTCGGCATAATGTTTTCAAGGTTCATCCATGTTGTACTATGTATCAGAACTTCATTTCTTTTTATGGCTGAAAAATATTCTATTGTGTGTATATGCCACATTTTGTTCAACCATTCATCTGTTGATGGATACTTGGGTTGTTTCTATCTTTTGGATATTGTGAATAATGCTGCTATGAACACGGGTGTACAAGCATCTGTTTGAGTTCCTGCTTTCAGTTCTTTTGAGCAAATGCCTAGGAGTGGAATTGCTGGTTCATATGGTAATTCTAAGTTTAACTTTTTGAGGAACCACCAAACTGTTTTCCACAACACCTGCACTGTTTTACATTCCCATCAGCAATGCATGAGGGTTTCTATTTCTCCACACTTGTCAACACTTGTTATTTTCTATTTTTCTGATAAGAGTAGAAGTGAAGTGGTATCTCATTGTGGTTTTGATTTGCATCTCCCTAATGACTAATGGGACCTGGTAGCACAGTGGTTAAGCGTTTGGCTGCTAACCAAAAGGTTGGTAGTTCGAATCCACCAGCTGCTCCTTGGAAACCCTAGGGGGCCGTTCTACTCTGTCCTATAGGGTCAATGTCCCAACGGCAATGGGGTTTTTTAATGACTAATGGAGGAGCTCTAGTGGCACAGCAGTTAAGGCACTCAGCTACTAATCAAAGGTCAGCAGTTCGAACTCACCAGCTGCTCCACGGGAGAAAGTTGTGCCAGTCTGCTTCCATAAAGATTTACAGCCTTGGAAACCTTATGGGGCAGCTCTACTCTGTCCTATAGGGTCGCTATGAGTTGGAATCTACTCGATGGCGACAAGCTTCCTTTGGTTTTTTGGTAATGACCAAAGACACTGAGCATCCTTACGTGTGCTTGCTATTTGTATACTTTCTTTGAAGAAATGTCTATTCAAGTCATTTGCCCATTTATTTTTCTAAATTTTATTTATTTTGTTGTTATTGAGAATACATACAGCAAAATTATACACCAATTCAACAGCTTCTACATGTACAATTCTGTGACAACGATTACATTCTTCGAGTCATGCAACCATTCTCACCCTTCTTTTCTGAGTTGTTCTTCCTCCATTAACATAAATTTACTAAGGGTCCTATCTAATCTTTTGAGTTACTGTTGTCAATTTGATCCCATATAGCTAGTTCTTAAAAGAGCATAATGCTCAAGGCAAGCCTTTTTTTTTACTAGTTAAGCTCAACTATTATTCAGTTTTATGATGACTTCAGGGGATATTTTTGGTTTAAGGTTTAAACATTATCTCAGGGCAAAAGTTTCAGGGGTTCATCCACCCTCCATGTCTCCAGAAATTTGGAGTCCGTGAGAATTGAAATTCTGTTCTGCATTTTCCCCCCTTTGATCAGGATTGTTCTATAGAATCTTTGATCAAAATGTTCATTAATGATAGCCAGGCACCATCCAGTTCTACTGGCCTCATGGCAAAGAAGGCAATTATTGGTTTTATTTATTTTCAATTTAAGGTGACCACAGATATTTAAAACACAGAAATAAGACCTCTGGGTAAAATGAACAAAGAAGCTACAAAATATCCTATTTTTTCCATTCTACCAGTTTTCCACACTCAACTGGGTGATTCTGGTGCTACTGACTGAAAATGGGCAAACCAGGAATAGGAATTTATTCTCTTCATGTCTATTCAGCTCTGTCCTTTAACTAACTTGTACAGCTGGTATATGACATTCATACCAACCTCTGAATTCATTATCTTCTCCTATCACGGCAATTCCGGTGTCTTCCTTATTATATCCAACAGGCCCATTCTATTATGTACATAAATGAAGTTCATCACCAAGGTCAGCTGACCATTCTGTCCAGTCTAGCCTAGATCTCCTCTTTCCACTGCTACCCACACAATCTTGGATTAGGTTCCTATGATCTGAAAGCTGGACTTGAAATTTATACCTCTCTCAAAATTATACAAAGCTTATCAGTTAAAAATCATCCTCTGCTCCATAAGCTAGCAAAAATATCCATCAATATATTTACTGTGTATCCTTCTACTATTCTAGCACAATGAAAAGAACAATTATTTGTAAGTCAAGAACTATAGTTCAGTGGCTATGCTAATAACTAGATGACTCACTTTGGTCAAACTGTTTAATTTCTCAGGGACTTACTATTTCCTCTATAAAATGAATCATTTTCTTTAGATTATGATTATCTTGTGAGATAGATTTCTTTTCAATATTCCCTTATATGTCACACTGATAAGACCTTGTTTAATTGAAAATAAGCAGTGAGATTCACTCACTAAAAATTCCTTCATTTTGCCTGAGGTAGGACTGTGTAAAAATTCTAATCTGGTTTCTTTTGCTTATGTAAAGACTTAGTGACAAATATAAATCATCCTACACTCAGGAATTTTGATTAGTATATACTGGTTCAGAAGGCATGTTTTATATTGGTTAAACTCTAAACCCTAAAATAGAATTTGTTAATACTGACTCATGCTGGCAAAATAGCTACATTTCACTGAAATAATTTTTTATACAGAAGTTACTAGAATATAAGAGTGAACAAGAGGAAACGGTATGTTTCTAGGATTACGTTTTAAGAAATTGTTTTAAGCAATGGTTTACAAAATCATTTAGGCTGACAGAGAGCACTTTAGTAGGACAAAATTCCCCATAAACTCAACCTAACACCACTGACTTCTACTGACCTCACTTATTATACTAATAGGAGTTCCTAGGTGGTATGCATGGTTAATGCATTTGGCTGCTAAACGGAAGGTTGGAGGTTCGAGTTCACCCAAAGGCGCCTCTGAAGAAAGGCCTGGAGATCTACTTCTGAAAAAATTAGCCATTGAAAACCCTATGAAGCACAATTCTACTCTGACACACAAGGGATCATAAGTTGGAACTGACTCAAGGGAAACTGGTTAGTTAGGTTGGTTACTATACTAATAAGAACTTTAAAATGGAAAAAAAGACTTCTGGTTAAATATGGATATTTCATTTTCTTCTTCCAAAATCCAATCAAAATGATAATAATGGAAAAATTACACATAAACTCACCATGACCTAGGAATACGAGAAGCAATAGCAGAAAATGGTTAAGTGGTAACTAACACTGCAGAAAAGCTAAAATCTAAGCCCAAGGGAAGGAAGCCAGTGAGAAATAAGCAAATTCTTGCCACAGAACCCTTTGTAATCAGCTTTTTAGTACCTCAGGCTTAAACAAGGAAAAAAACAAATACTCCCCCAGGCATTTGAACAAAGGCTCTAATATGAAAAATAGAGGGAAGGATTTGGTATCTTCAACAAATGAATTATAAAGAAAAAAAAAAAGGAGAAAGAACTAATAGATTAAAAAATTTAAGGGATACCAGCCATTTGCAAAGTATAGGCCTTCTTTGGATCCTGATTCAAACAAACCACAAAAAGAAAAATAAATTATAACATTAGGGACAACTGGAAACTTGAACACTGATTGGGTATTTGTATGTTAATTTTTTGAGCATAATGATACAGTGGTATTATTTCTTTTAATAAAGAGTCTTTATTTTTCAAAAATACTAACTAAAACGTTTATGGAAGAAATTATACAATGTTTGCAATTTGCTTCAAAATAACAAAGGTGGGGCAAGGAGGAGAACATAGATAAAAAGATTTGACCATGAGTTAATAAATGTTGAAGCAGAGAGAAGGGTATATGGGGGTTCACTGTATTTTTTCTCTTTCCTTTTGTAAATGTTTGACATTTTCTGTAATAAAGCCTTTAAAAATGAAATAATCAGAGAACAAGAAAATCTAGGAAATTAAAAATGATGGTAAGGAAAAAAAAAAAGACAAAAAAGGAAAATATGAGACGGAAAAATAAGAAAATTAAGAAATAATCCAGGAACTCCAACACATCCAAATAGTAGCAGTTACAAAGTGGAGAAGAAATGACAAAAGACTTTCCCAAAACTGAAGAAATGAGTTTCTAAATTGAAATAAACCATCTAGTACCTGGTATGATGAGTATTAAAAAAAACCCACAATAAAGATTACAATATATAAGTTTCAGAACACCAGGGATAAAGAGTAGATTCTAAAGACTTCCAAAGAGGAAAGGCTGCTCATACACAAAGGACTGGGAATCAGAATAGCAATAAACTTCTTCATAACCACATAGGAAAGCAGAAGACAATGGGAGAAATTCCTTCAAATATCTGAGGGAAAAACATTTCTCACCTAGAATTTTACACCCAGCCAAACTATAAATTAAATAAAGGAATAGAATAAAGGCATTTTCAGATGTACAAGATCACAAAAAATTTACCACCCGTTCACCCTTTCTTAGGTAGCAACTAGAAGATGTGTTCCACCAAAACTAGGTAGTAGTAGAGAAAATGGTAGGTACAGAATTTGGCCAAAGAGGATCTACTACAGCAAAGATGTGAAAGAAATGTGACTCTGGTAAGCTATTTGACTCAGCTAAGAATAATTTTTATAAAGTTGTAATAATGAAAACATTACTGAAAGGACAAGAAAAGGGAATTTGTGTGTAGGTGGTAGTATAAGAGAACTAAACCCTCATTTTCTGGGTTAGGAAGTTAATGGAATATGTTATGTCTCCAAATGAAAACAATCAAGGAATTGCAATATAAGAATGTTGAATATGAAGGTAAATGGGAGAAGTAGCTAAAGAGATGAAAGTCATTGTTTCTGGGGGTCAAGAATTGGGCTAGGGAGGAGGTGAGTGCAGAACTGATATTTTACATTATAAGACTATACAGATATTACTTTCATAAAAATCAGAATTAAATTTAAAAACACATTAACAATTATCCAGCAGGCTACAATTTTAATAAATCAAATATTTTTATTTTTCTATGATCCCTTCCATTTCTTATGTTTATATAATTTTACATACTTGCAGTAGCCAAATTTTTAATTTTAAACTTACATATTTTCATTAAGCTCAATTTTGTGATTATATTGAAAATACTTCATTTTAATAACATTAAGTGGTTATAGCATAATTTTATAAACATTCCTCTGTTTTTCAGCATTTATGAAATTTCTAAATTCTTGCTAATGTAAATAGTGTTGTAAGGAGAACTTTTAAGCACAGAAGTTCCTTTTTTTGAGATTATTTTCTCAGGTTAAATTAGCAGCAGTAATGGCTCTCTGTACACATGACAAAACTGCTTTACAATTTATGCTGCCAACATATGAAACAGTAACTCATTATTTTAATATATATATTTTTGATATATATATATAAATTCTTAATGCCACCATTCTTTCTACACTTATTAGTTGGAATTCTACAAGAAGGAGCCTTCCCTTCTCCCCTATTAATTTATTTAAGTCTATTATTTATTTATATTAATATTGGACTCATGGTTTCTTACTTTATTCAATACGTTATATATAATCTATCACTATCACTAATTACTGCAATGCTCAAATTGCCCTAGATTTGGCCAGTGGGAGCCCCTTAATCAAGTCCTTATATTGATATTTTATAATATTTGGGGCAAATATTTTCCTGTTTTCTTATTTATCTTTCATTGTATGAAAGGTTGAAAGTTTTTGTACTGTCAAACTTGTAATTCACTGTAATTTGTTCGATATCCCTTCACAAGTTTCCTCAGTATGTTAAGTTTTAGAATTCAGTTATGTTGGAGTTTACTATGGTACAGTGTTTAAGAAAAGACTGTAAACTAATTTTTTTCCAAATTACTCAGCAGTATTTCAAACAAAATTTATTAAAGAATTATTTAATTCTCCCACTATTCTGTATACTTGCTTTGTCATACACCACAGCAAGCACTCAATATTTCTGTAACAAATAGATTAAAATTTTGTATATAATTTTTTGTACTATTTTGTTCCTCTAATTTGTATGTCTATGTTATTCTCCCCAATAACACACTGAATTACAGCTGCTTTAGATAAGCTTTAATACCTGACAGAGATTGTTCTCGTTATTCTTCTTTTTCACAGTGTTGAGGTGCATGTTTTGTTTTGTTTTTTTCAAGTGAAATTTAGAATAATTAAGTTTTAAGAAATATACAACTGGAATTTTTATGATTTTGAGATAACTGGATGGCTAGAGGAGAAGTGAGATGAACACTATTTAGAGCCTTCTCTAAAAAGAATTGGGCATTTATTCTCTTTCCTGATAGCTTTTAGACTTCTCAGAGTACTATAGTTTCTTTTACATACAGTACACACAACGCAATGCTGTTAAATACATGAAAACAAACCTGACTTTTATTGCTTTTGTGAATGAACTCTCTTATACAGGTTTCATTTATGCAGTTTTTGTAACATGGGATTCATGAGTATAAAATTATAATAGCGATACAAAGGCAGGGCACTGTGGATATAATTTAATTCCCTGGTCCTAGCAAGAATGAAGTAAAGTGCTATGCCATGGGGTAGAGACTGGCTAGGAAAGAAAATACATTCAGGAAGGGTGTAAGAGACTGGAAGCAAAGGACGGTGTTGACAGAGGAAGGAAAAAATTTAGGGGATGATAATATCCAGGGGGAGTCCCTGGGTGGCATAAATGGTTAAATACTCAACTACTAGCTGAAAGGCTGGTGTCATTGCCTTGAAAACCCTATAGAGCAGTTCTACTCTGCACACATAGGGTTACCATGAGTTGGAGTCGACTCGGATGGCAACCAACAATAATCGCAATACTCAGGGTGGGGAACTACTTGGGAAGAATAATATCAGAAATAGTTTAAGATCTTTGTAAATATTCCTTCTTTAGAAATTACATGTATATCAAAGAGGAAAGAACTGATATTAGGAATCAATATATAAAACATCTAGAGGTTGAATGGTTAACATATACTAATTTCAAGGAAGATTTATATATTTAAAAATATATGTACAATTTCTTCTAAATGATTTTTTACCTATACAAACCAAATTCTGTCTTAGATTTTCCAAAATGACAGGCTTGGAATAAAAACTTACTTGGAAACCATAAAGTCAAGATGGTAAAGGCCTTAGAATAAATAAAGCTATTTCACATCCAGTAAACCAGTAAGTTTTTTGAAATATTAAATATTAAAATATTTATAACAATTTGAAGATAAATCAAACCCAGTTTTAATACTTCAAGTTTCTGTGTGCCTAAAGCCCAAGATGAATTTATGATACTTCCTTCATAACATGGCAACTTCCTTTCTTGCTAGTCATATGATCCTTAAGTCCAATAGGAAGAATTCACTAAAAGAAAGTCTAAACTTAAAGACAGTACCAGGAACAGATTCAGAATGTAATTAAAAAGTCTAGGAGTCATATGAGATCTATAAAGACCTTTCGGTTTGTTTAATACTGCATGAACATCACAATTAGGTAAGTAAGCATCACTTACCCTTCAATGTGGCCTTCTTCAATACTTTCATGGCATAAAGCTGTCTAGCGTCAGAGCCTGAGATTTTTTTAACTAAGAAAACCTGTATTTAACATAAGAGAAAATAAGTTTTACAAAGCATCACAAACTATTAAAATAAATAAAAAAACAAAACCCAAATCACTGTCGAGTCGATTCTGACTCATAGCGACCCTATAGACCTCTGCTATAATATAGTTTATTACCAGTAAAAGTCTGATACATTGTAGATCAAGTTCATTTCCCTTAAAATGTACCAATTATAAACACAAGGAATTATAAACAGTGGTTACAACTTGGGGTGTCAATATAAGTGAATATATATTTTTTCTTTGTTGTTTGCCAATTTCCAAAGAGCATGTAACACATAAAACAGAAAAAAAAATCTTTAAATTATGTAGCAATTAGACTGAGGAAAGCCTAATATGTTTAAAGTATAACACGGGTGGTGATGGCTCCACTTTAACAAAGCAAAAATTGTTCTCATTCCATAAAAACTGTCACATAGGGATTCCCCTTGATCATAATTTTCTGTTGAATAAGAGCTTCAGAACAAAGGTGCCTGGTATATTTACAGTGGATGGCCTAGAAGCAGGCCCAACTCCATTTTGTTACAAGCTCCTGAGAATGTAACCTTGACTTCTTCCATTTGTATGCATATGCATATAATTATCTTGTTTAACAGGCCTGCCTTTGCCCCAAAACCACTTTTAGCAAATAAGGGTGGGATCAGGAATATGATTGTAGGAGAATGAGTTTACCCAGGAGGTTATGTGCAGGAACCCTAAAATCAAGGCGCTTGACCCAAGTAGAGAGCTGGTTTAAAGTCAGAGGCAGACTCCATTTTGTCCTAGATTCTGCTTCTGTTTCTGAGGTGACCCATGACTGTTATCTTCAGGCAGAATGTGGCTGAAAGCGGATTAACTAGTATGCACAAAGGTGCTTACACAGGTAACTTGCCTAGGCATGTACTTGAATGATTTACAGAAAATAGCCAATCAGAAGAACTTACATTAGCTAGCCAATCAGAGTATTTTTTACTGTTAGTTCCTGAGTCCGGCCTTTATCTGTCCTCAAGAAACAGCCGCCTCTTAGATTCCTGCGTTTCAGTGGCTGGGACCTACGTCTCCCTGTTTGAATGTTTTTGAGCTTTAGATAAATCCTTTTGTTTTATTCTAGCGGAATCTGAGAGTTTTACTTTAGGACATTGTGGATATAATTATTCATTGATGAATAGTCTTTTCTATATATAAAAAATGCACATAAATGTTTCACTACTAGGCAGAATAATTTAAAAGTATATTTACATCAAATAATTCTACTAAAAATATTTAATGTTACTTAAGTCATAATCCCCCCAACACATCTTTTTAAAATTAAATTATCACGTATACTTAAATACGAAGAACTCAATCCCCAGGTATGTTATGGAGCATCTTGATATTTCAAATAGTTTTGTCTGCTTTCAAAATATAGTGTAGGTGACGATAGGGAACACAAAGTAGAGTAAGGATATTGTTGATGTGTTGTGAGATTGTTAACCATTGTCATAGGGCAACATTTGTAGTAACTGTTAA